AATCGAAATTCAGATCAACATTTTATCTTTTAAATTTTAGATATTTAACGGAGTTGGATCAAATTTTCTTTAAAATATGCTTTGTTCAAATCTCCACTTGCATGATAGCTGGAATTTCTTTATCCTATATTTCAATTGAGGTAATTTCGTTTATCAAACTAACGACATAAAATCGCATAAAATCGTCAAAATAATTTATTTTGATTAATTTTTACAGACACACTATTTCCAAGCATATGTTTTCTCTTTGTTCACTTTTGCTTCAATTTTCATCTTTTGCACATTTGGGCACATCATTGAAACTACGGTTAGTATATATAAACAAAAGTTTTCGAAAGAAATTCAAGTTTTTAATGACGGGTATTCATTAATTTTAATTCAATCTACGTATTTTTCGGAAGAATGATATAGCAGATGATGTAATTCAGGAGATTAAATGGAACCTAATGACCAAGCGCGAGCAGAAAATATACCTTCAATTGTTGATGCATGTGCAGCATCCCTGCAATTTGACAATTGGTGGGATCTTTCCACTCAATTGGCCGACCTGTATTCAGGTAATTAATGAGACATTTTATTCTTTTTATATTGTCTATTCAAACAATTATATCCTTTTCTTGTCAGCTTTTCAAATCAATTTATTATTGGATTAATCTACTAAACTCGCTGAAGTAATAGAAACAGAGGATATTCATTTTTGTATAGCTATATCCAGCAGCCTAGTGACATAGCACTAAACCTGTATTTTATTTCAGCTTTTATTTTATTTCAAGTGCATCAAAGAAAAAACATCAAACTATTGCAAGTATTGATATAAAAGCCTTTTTATCATTATCAAGTTTAAAATAAGTGAATTTAATTGTTTTTGATTAGCCATAATGCCATTATATTGAAAATTTCAATGAAATATCACATCAACGCACCTCAAGTGTCAAAATTGTTGACTTTTCAATTGATATTTTTAGTTGGGCAGGCAATAGCATAAAAATCTAGGGGGTAGACACCAATTCCTAGTATACTTAGTTTCGTATAGTATTTCTAGTACTGACCATGAGCTGAATAAATTGCATTGCCAATGTATTCTTCATCGTTCATCCATACGGAATGCAATAGAATCCATTGTACTTAATGAACACAAATATTTTATTTACAAAAATGCACCGTCGATTCTGTCATAAAAAAAGTATTGGCAATGTATTCTATATGGCACTGGTAATGTAGTGACGGATTTCATCCATATAAAAATATGTTGCCAATACTTTTAATAGGATAGAATCGACAAGTACATTTTTTCACAAATATTCTTTTATTAGCCACTAGTAGCTTATAATATGCTCTGATTTTAACCCCTAGATAAAAATACACGTTCTTTTTCACAATCTTTTTTGAGATTTGTTATTTTCTTTTGGCCGAAAGTCATGATTGAAATAAATAAATAAATAAGACATTTGATCACTTGATAACATCATGCTTTTTCATTTGATATAACTTCCCTCTCGATAACATTTTGTCAGTCTACGTATTTCGGATGGATATCCATCCGAGATATTTTAGAATATCTGGATATTCAACGCAACTGCACAGCGCCAGAGCTGTGTGCGTCGCAAATAGAATCTACGGTATGTCGCGACGTATATGTGTATCAAGTGCCGCACGTACACAGTCACACTGTGTCTGTATTTTACGTGTAGCGACATACCGTAGATTATATGTGTGACGCACACAGCTCTGGCTCTGTGCAGTTGCGTTAAATATCCAGATATTCTAAAATATCTCGGATGGATATCCATCCGAAATACATAGACTGCATTTTGTGAACATTTCCAAAATTAATAATGCATTGTTTTCGAAATAGACGGATGGACAACTTAAATAATTATTTCTGGCAAAAATAATCCATTTTTAATTTGCATTGAATCAGTGTTTATAGTCTTGTAAAGCCGGTGATTAAGTAGTATTGTTTTGATATTATTTAAATCCTTATTTAATTTTTAAAATAAATTCTTTGAAGGACATGTTTTGCGATACATAATGGTGTTAGATTCGCCCCATAATATTACTTAGTTTTAATTACATTGAACGTACACTGTTTTTTTTTAAATGTTTCATCAAAATAAAAGCCTTGATTCTGGAAATTATACTTTATTAAAGATCAATTATCGATGAAAATCAGCACATGTTGTAAATATGTATATTGTTTACAAAATGTTGAAAAATGTAATAAAATCAATATACGAGATAATTACTGAAAAATAAATATGACCATCGACATTCGACCAACGATTAGAATAAAAGCATAGTTCACATAGCTCTCATAGGTAGTTCGTCGTTGACTTCAGAGGAAGTGAAAATTAACACCACTCGCTCAGTTCATCATCAGCCGCTATGGACTCATATAAACGATTTTACAACGCGACTTTTATTTGGAATCGGAAAATGTTGGCAGCAGTTGGCCATGATATCTACGAAAAAGACTTTAAACCTCACATTGGCTCCTATGCAGTTTATTTTCTCGTAGCTTTTATGATTTGTATAATAGTGTATACCATGGTGTTTTATGATAACTTCACGCGTCTTAACTGTACCTTATATCTTACCCTTGGTATTCAGGTAAATGTACAATTTTTCGTTTTCTTTAATATAATAATAAATTCGTTAAATTGAATTTGTTACTCTTAGGCCGCTTTCAAAATTTACAATGCACGCTACAGTTTGGATTTTTTGAAAATGATTTCATTCATTGCACTCTTGTTTGAAAAGCATATTTCTACTAAATCAAAAGAACGTTTGTTGCTATTCGAGCGATTCGCATTTTATACCGATTGGATTGTCAAATTGGGTATTTTACTGTATATTGGATCGGCGCTCATGTTTCTACCATATCCAATATACATGTATATTTTTGAAAACCAACGTGTACCTTTGATTTTATTCTTTATACCCGGCTTGGATGAGAATTCCTTGAGTGGATACTGTATTCTAGTATCAGTACAATTATTTGTATTGGTTATAGCTTCTGTTGGAATGTGTTCATGTGATGTTTTTTATGCACTTATTCTATCAAATGTTCCGATCATGGCTCGCTTGATCGAAGACGAAGTTCATCATTTGAATGTAGCTTTGGAAGAACATCAATACGATAACCGCAAATGGAGATCTCAATTTCGGAATATTTTGGTTATGCATCAAGAAATGGCAATGTAAGCATTTGGTATTGTTTAAATCGAAATTCAGATCAACATTTTATATTTTAAATTCTAGATATTTAACGGAGTTGGATCAAATTTTCTTTAAAATATGCTTTGTTGAAATCTCCAGTCTCATGATTTCTTCAGTTTGCTTATTCTATGTTTTAATTGAGGTAATTTTATTTATAAAACTTTTCTACGATCAACTATAAAATCTGTGAATTTTGAAAAAAAAATATTTTATTAGACAAACTATTTCCCGATATACACTTTATCTATGATGACATTGGTTTTAATTTTCCTTTTTTGCACATTTGGGCATATTGTAGAACTTACGGTTTGTATACCAAGCATAAGTTTTCAGATTTTTTTTAATACATATATTTTTTGATAGATCAAGTTTAATTCAATCTACGTTTTTTGGGCAGAATGACATGGCAAACGATGTAATTCAGGAGATTAAATGGAACTTAATGACTCAAAATGAACAGAAAATGTTTATTCAATTATTAATCAATGTTCAGCAACCTTGTCTTTTAAGCATTGGTGGAATCCTTCCACTTAATTGGTCAACATGTGTTCAGGTAATGAAATACAGATATTATTTATTCCAATTATTAGTATTTAATGATTTATTTAAATCTTTTCCACATCAGCTTTTCAAATCAATTTATTATTGGATTAATCTGCTGCATTCGCTGAAGCAATAGAAACATAGCAGATTTTCAATACTGAATTTGCTCGACCTCTGATCCGAGATAGATCTTTTATTAACAATTAACATTTATTATTATGAATAATTCAATTTTGAAAAATCTTATTGCTTAATATTCTGTATAGCGATTTTAATTTAATGACTAGTATACACAGACTAACTGATTAGCCCCTCTGACACCAACTAGCCAGTCAATTGGTACATTGTTGATGGGTCCACGATAAATGTAGAAATAATTTTTCCGCAAATCAAAAATGTCCTGATTTTAAAAGTTTTTTTTCGTTGAAAAAAAATTTATTCATTCAATGACACCCCCTTTGCACATTCTGCGAATAACAAAGGCAGAAATAAAACTTTGAAACTAATACACAGCACTACAATTATGAAAATCTTTTGTATTATTTCTTCTTCTCACCAAAATACGTTGATTTTATTCAAATCTTTGTGAATGTTGCATAAACAAGTTTTCAATTTCATTTTTTTTTTTATTTATGCAACGTACACATTTTCTTGGTAAGTGTGTGGTATTGTCTACATTGTCCAAAACAATGGATTTCTTGTTGTTTCTAAGCGCTCGCCATATATGAATGCCTCGGAGGAGATTTTATTTTTTGGGTCGATTCATTAAGTTGGTCATGTTTGACTATGATTATGTGAATGTATGCGCCAATTCCTGGTGTATTATGTATGTTCAGCGATTTCTTTGTTGTTTGGTTAATTTTTCTTACTAGTTTACTCAAACAAGTGTACATGTTTTGACATGACATCTATTTACACCCTTCACATGCATGCAAGTATACAATATTTACACTATTGTTTTTTTCTCTCGAGAAGTTTATTTTCTATGCATTGTACAGCCAAACGCATCGTAAGTCTCGTCATGGGTACCGTTTTATTTTAAAAGAAGAATTGCTCTTTGGTTTCGCCACTGCATGCCATGTAGACGAATGAAAAATTTACTTGGAATCTGCTTGAATAAATATTGCATGACATTCTAGATGACATTAAACTAGAATGTATCCCAAAAAAAACAGAATTGAAATAGAAATTGATTACATTTAAAAACAATTTGTTTGATTTATTCATTTCATCTTTGTTTTCAGTTTTTATTTTCTTCATTTCAATGGCCTCTTATAGTATAAATACTAAATACTAATACATCATTGCATTTGACATTATACAATAAATCTTCGTCGTAGTTTAGTCTGATTAACTATTGATATTTATTTTTTGTTTTCTTCATTGATCACTGGCTTAGAACCCGAATATGTATAAGCTACAATTATGTATCCTGTATGTATCACTTTTTTATAAAATGTAGATTACTTCTAAATTATTTCCTTCTTAGAGATGGAAAATTATTTTTATCAATTGTAGTGGATTTCCTTTATAAAACTGTATCGGCATGAAATTTTACGTTTGTGTTATTTCTGTTTCGTTATCTCTTAAAATTTCTCTGTTGGAATGTTAAAAACGTATGGCATTTCTCATGTAAATCTAAAACTGAATTGATATTTTCTAATTGATAATGATTTGATTTGATTTGATTTGATCGGTATTTTTCTTATAGGTTATAACGTATACTGTTTCACGTTTTGTTTTTAATTATATTTTTTCTTCTCATTATTGCTCTGTGTTTCGTTTACTAAATTATTTCTTTTTGCTTTCTTTCAACCTCAGCGCATTGTCTAAACTATACATTCAGAGAAGAGAGCTGATCGAACTTCATCAACAATATCCAGTCCATTTGTATTCATCATTGTTGCCAAAATCACATCGTCAGAAACATTCCTGAAATGGAGCATTGTACACATTTTTGAATAAATTTGTATTTTATTCTCAAAAATCACTTTCAACGTATAATTTACTCACAAAACTTTTGCCTTGAAAATTCCGTTGAGATAAATCTTTTGAATATAATCCTTGATTTCTCTAGCTGATGAACCGGGTAAACTTCGAATGTTTGCAATTCGATATTTGACCGCCTGGAATGGCATTATGTCACATAGTTCGTCCCATTCAAACAAGGCATCGAATCCCACCGTTTCGGTGTTTCCGTAGTCAACGTAAAAGACCTATTGCAATGCAAAATCGATTAATTTTTATTCTTCAAATAAAAAAATATTTCCACTTACTGTGAATGTGTGTTGTTCAACCTTTTCCACCCGTGCGCGATAAATGAATTGATCATTATATCGTGACAAAATCAAGTCGTTTACCTCTGTAAAATTGGTCAGTCATTGATGTGAGAAAAAAATGTAGGTGCAAAGCCAAATTTTACTTACTTGGAATGTAGCTCAACTGTTTTGGTTGTAGTTGTTGAAGCGTGGTGAATTGGTACTCTTCAAATTCTTTGTAGCGTTCGGTGTATTGAACGTACATGAATTCAGCGTCGATAAAATGCATTGGAGTTACTGATTTCTCTTCGCCTTTCATTGGAACGGGAAGCAATTCTGTTTCAAATAGATTCACAAAAACATTCAATAGAATTTCGGACTTTCAATTATCAATGTAAACGAAAAGATGCTATTACCCCGTAGAAGATGTGCTTCGATGAGGTTGTTTTGTTTTTCAATATTTGTCCGGTTGATAGTTTTTGGATGGGCACCTGTTTCACATGGACATGAATTTGAAATTGGTGTTGCTTCTTGATTTCCATTCATTCGCTTTTCATCGTTCTTCGTTGGTGATACTCTTTCTGTCAACTTTACTTCTCCGTTTGCATACTTCATCGCGAAATGGTGTATGTAATGTTTTTCATGTTCTACGGCTGGAGTTCGGCGCACGATGTTGATTGGAATTCGAATCTGTGGTAATGGTTTAGGTTGACGTGGTGGAACTGGTGGCAGGGATTTTACTGCCGGAGATGTCATCTTTGGTGGTGAAACTGTTGTTGGCTTTGTTTGATATCCATTTGCAAGTAGTGTTCCTGCTGGATGAATAACTGTATTCACCTGGTAACTTTTTGACGTTGACGTGGCTTGGTGTGCTCTTTGCGCATGAAAACCATTAGAGACAGAAGTTTTGGTTGTATGTGCGGTTTGCGGTTGGTAACCGTTCAAATGTTGTGGATGGACTTCTACTTGAATGTCGTTGTCGTCCAAAAATGGATTCTGATTCACTTGACGCACCACCATTGACGCATTTTGTCCTGGTAGCTCTTCTTCTCTATCAGCCATTTCCATGCATTCAATAATTGACTTTTGCAGTGGATCATCCTAACATGATAAAGAAATCATCCAAATAAGTGTAAGTATTTCCCTGATTTGTATAATAGCTTACCACCTCAAAACCATTTTGTGCTTCTGTACACAGTTCAACTTCAAGCATGTTCCTGTAAAAGTTCGTTTTGTATTGATTTTGCTTTAAGTTTTATGCCTAGCTGTAAATTGGCAATGCTTCAAAAATGACTTACACATAAATATCCATGATTTTCACTTGAAACACCTTTTTGTATAGTCCACTGAGAGAATGCACCAGTTTGCCATCGATCTAAAATTAGAACCGGTAATATTTTGTGTTATCACAATCGAAACAAACGGTGAATGCAATTGTATTGTTTTACGCTTGTGAAATGCAATTGTACCTTTTCGATTCGAGATAGCATTGCCATTGGAGGGATTTGTTTTGCTTCATCAGTCAAGTTGTATTTGTACACGTTTGGAGACACCGAAATCATTTCACCAATGTCAATCAATCGAACGCGAATGGTCATGCCAGTAGCCTGCGATAAGCAATTACAGTTAGTTTTGTTTATATTTCGATATGAAGGACAAAGAATGTAACTCACTTCTGTGTCAATGCGAATGGCACGGAAAAATTTCAGATTTACTTCCAATCCGAAAATTTCACCGTAGTTCGGTATTCCCTCGAATGCTGATTTCACATAAGGTTTGAAGTTTTGAATCATTTCTCTGGCAATGTTATGAATAATGACAAAATGTAAAATAGTGATAACATAACCTTATTTCGATTGTAAATTATGCACAGCGGCCGAAAAAATACCGCCAATATTATCATTTCATCTCCATAAACTCGTTTAAATCGAGAAAATATTGTGCATTTTCGTTATATACTTACTTGGATTGGTCTTGAATGAAGCACAGTTTTGATTCGCCTTCGAGTACATATGAAACCATGCCAAAGAATTTATCGCCAATTTGATAAGACGATAAATCGCCTGCCCAATCTTTGACTCGTAGGCAGATAGAATTCGGCGATTTGGCCATAATGTCATTGTAAATCTTTTCGTCAAGCGATGACATCAATGATTCGACAGTTGAATTGAACGCTTGCAAAATGTCGCAAACAATGGACATCATTCGAATTTGTCGCTGTATTTCGTGGATATTATTCGAATTCATGACTGTTTCGTGAATTTGACCAATCTATTTCAAAAAAAAAATCCAAAATGTACAAGAAAGTTGTGTGTGCGTCGTTTTTGATAAAACTGACATCAAATATGGTTGACATAAAAAAAACAACAACTTACGAATTGATCCAATACTGAAATTCCCGTCACTGATTTTTTGCTTTCGCGACAAAACATCGTGCGATAGATGTTTGTCTCTTCATTGAAAAATAATTGCATGGCGTTTAATACTTGCTCTTAAAATGGTTTATTTCTGCCTCCAAAACTGTTTGTATTTTCTAAAAATGATTTTTGTTCAACTGTGTGATGCTATCAAACTGCGATGTCACCGCTTCGATTGCTAATTACTTTCTGTTATTCACTTGTGCAACAAATTCAAGCCGATGTTGAAATACCGCTAAGTTGCGTTCTTTCTAATCAGATGTACAACGATAAACTGCACAGACGTTTTTGGCAACGCGTGAGAAACACCATTCAATGTGACAGTATGACATTAGGCTCGCAGTTCGCTCAATTTGCGGTGATCAGCGTTGATTGTGACTTTTCGAGCCAAATAAACAATGTGAATCAGATTCCAACGTGCTATGCATTCAAATTTTCTGATCGAAAACACCGAAATAAAAGCTCAAAACAAAAGTTTCTCGAAGCTCATACGATGTACGATGGCAACACCAATGTTTTGGTCACAGGAGAAACTTGTTGCTGGTTTGTTGTGTGCAAACAAAACGTTGCTTCCCCTCAAAGAGTCATGCATAGAAATGCTATGCGTTTTTGACATAACAGCGTTGATATGTGAACGATGAAGAGAATACGGTATAGAAGAGAGAAAAAAATGAATATGGCCGCTCCTAACACATACACACCGACACCATGGCTTACAGTACAGCACAACAGTAGAACAGATCAGTAAACTCAATGAACTGACGTTCGTGAGCAAAGTGTTGTGTATTTCTTTTTCTTTCGTTTCGTTTCCATCGATTCGTTGTTTTCATTTCTTTCATTTTATATATTTTTTTTTTCCTTTCTGATTTCTCATCATTTTGAATTTTCTCATGCATTTATTTGTGGCTCTCACTGTATATAATAACTTTGCATTTTTAATTAAGAGTGGCAATTAATTTAGTACTTTCCGTTAAGCGGTGGTCATTTAGTTGACGATACAGTGATGTGAATAAGTGCATTGGTGCCTATTGCCTGTGAGAAATAAATAGCATCTGAATTGAATGATAGACAACATAGACGACGACCACGACGTCGACGACGACAAAGAAAAATTAACAAAAAAGGAATAAGAAGAGTCAGCACTGAACACACACATTCTTTTTTTCATTGCACTATGACGGCACTGGTTTAATGTTTACTTTTTTTTTCTGTGCGTGAGAAGAGTGTGTGTTAAAATAATGTGTGGAGAACGTACATTATGCGTGTGTGCATTTCATTTCTGTTTTGTGTAGCATATTTTTACTGATATATTGGTTATTATTCGACTCTGAGTACCGATTGTGCCTCACTCATATCTAAATACGTATTGTTAAAATATTTCAACAAAACTATCGATAAAGAGATATCGCTTGCGTTTAATTTATATGAGTGAAAGAAGAACTAACCAAATACTGTGTATTCTTCATGAATATCAATAAAGTTCATAAAACTATTGGAATTTCTGTGTCGTACGCATAAGAATTTCAATGAAAACAACAGAAATGTGTAAGTGTATTTTATCGCATTGTAATTATCGTTTAAATAGTTTTGGTAAAATAAGTAGCTAACGTGCAAAAAGAATATATATTTATGTGGAAACAACAAGATTTTAAATTATTCACCAGAAAATCGATGACGTACTGTTTATCAAATGAGCACCTGCTTAAACCGCAGACAACGAACGCTCTCCGCAACACCAAATGTTATTGTTGTTGTGGTTGTTGGGTGTTTTTTTTTTGCTTTCAATCGAGCGTAATTTAATGCTAGCCATCTTAAAGAGGGCAATGTGTTGTTTAATCTACTAGTTTGTTTTTCTCTGTTTTTTCTTCATATTCAGAGTTTTTTTCCGTATATTTTTCCCCCATTTTATCTTTTTCGCTTTATTTACTTAGCATTTTGTTTCATCCTTATTTTTATACGTTGTATTTCTGTTTTTCATGTTTATTACCAGCCGACGCAAATAATCGAAATAAGACGCGTACGCCGAACATTTTCAAAAATGTGGATCGTCCGTTGCCGTCGCCGACATCGGGTTCGATGAAATTAAATGAAAGTGCCCCGTTGTCACCCACTCTCTCGCCAAATACGAAATCGATGATATCACAAAAAGTGCAGACACTCAAACAACGAAAACAAGACTTAGACAAATTGCTGCAAGAAAAAAATAATTTGCTACAACAATTGTGTCGGGAGGAGGCAAAAATAATCGGATGTTCAACCTTTTCGCTGAACGATTTATCCAGTATTAGTGGCATTGATTGTAGTGACGGGGGCGTAAATAACTGTGACCGAGCGCAGTTGAATAATAATTCAACGCTACGACGGCACATCGATACTGGTTTTAAACTGCCCGAAAATCTTCTAAATAGCAATGAAGACGACATAAATCAGTTGTTGTTGAGTAAAAAGATTCAACAGCAAATATCACAAGCTTCACTTAAACTCGCCAATGATGCAACACAAACCAAAGTAAGTGTGCCAATTTTCTAATCAAATTCATTTATTTAAGCTGAAGATATAAATCCGTATGTCTGAAGCAACAAAAAAAAATGTTTCGTTTATTCTAATCGAGCCTTTTGTATTTCATTCACATTTGCAGTCGATTCGTCGGGCGCATCGGCAAAACTATGAAGTTGCACAGCAAAAAATTCAGAGTATTAATCAAACATTAAGTTTTATAAGGAGTCGTGCAAATGCCGAATCGATCAATAGCCGAGATGACATTAATCTTAATAATAATTTGGGATATGCAACAATAAACAATGTGATCAACGGCAGTAAAAATCATCGCAATGATATAAAATCAAAGCAACATCTAAACGTTAGCTCAATCAGTCTTGAAAACAATAATATTATGTCGGAAAGACGAAATTCAGCCGTATCAACTGGCTCAGCATCGCAATATCTTGCGGCAAATGCATTAAAAAGTCGACCCAGATGTGATAGTTATGGTGGTCAAACGAGCAATGTTCAAAATTATGCAACCGCTACCACAACCAAAAGCGATAAAATGTTGCATTCACCAACGTATGCGTATCAACAACAAGTTCAAATTCCGCATTTACACTACAAAAGTCATGCGGATAAAATTGCTTATGTTACAAATGCTGTGGCAAATGCAGCTCCAAATGCCAATCCAAATGCAAATAATAATGGCAATGCTATGGCTTCGCCAAAATATGGACGTCTTAAGCCGCTTACAGTTGATACCGGCAGCATAAATGAATCGTATTACTATCCGCCAAGTGGAAGTGCCAACCATCAGCATAGATCACATTTTCAACAGCACTATACACAACATCAACACCAGCACAGGCACAGTCCATACACAACAAGTCGAGCGCACCTAACACCCACCAAAGTAAAGCATACACCCTCTCAACATTTGCATATAAATACAAAACCACCGATAAGTGATGATGAAGAAGACGATATTGCCGGTCAATATGCAACGTTATTAACGCTATCCGATCAACTGAAACCAGGCTCGGTGCATCAAGACATCGAAAACCAAGATACAGACACACATTATACGGAAATTTTGTGTCGCAAGCCATCGGCACCGTTGCCATTGACTGAACGAAATCAATTTCAAACCAAAGACGTTAATGTGGTCACAAAAAGTCAAGGTCTTGGAGGCTATTGGACAACCAACGAAAATAACGAACGTGTTTGGTTGTCAGTTGATAATCGGTGAGTGAACAGATGACATTTTAAGAATTTCTCAATTTTTGCGAATAAAAATTTAATTGTATTTGTACTCTCATCGCTTTAGTTACTCAAGTTTGGATCGAAAGAGCCAAAAGAATAAGATGAAAAAGCAACAAGTGGCACGTACTGTAAATCAACCAACAAAATCAACGTCTTTGAGTAATTTCAATTTTATTAATAAATCTGATGACACACATGACAGTGATGCAGCTTCAACAATGAATGCAGCACAAATTGATCAAAGGCGACCAAAACCGAAGCAGTGGTAAATATTCACATTTCAAATGAAGCATTTTTTTTTCAATTTCAAAATATCACAAAAATTGATTTCGTTTGAACAGGACCGAAACGTCGTTAGATACTCCGATTCGAAAAGTTGAACAAATGTCTCCGAAGCTTGTCTCACCGCCAATTTACTATCGCGATAAAAATCGTTTATCGTCGCATTCACTGCACTCACCAAGTCGCAATGCGATCTCGATAGGAAATTCGCACACACTAACTTCACTTCAAACGCCACAAATTCTGAGTGATTTATCAAAAGCGCTGAGCACATCAGCAAATGCTCTAACTGGCGTTGAGAGTGTAATGAGGAGTCAATCACAACAACCACTTCCTTCACCCTCGCAATCGTACCACCATAGCACTTCGATACAATCCGCCCCTTTATTTGATCACACAAATTCAAATGCAAATCCCAATATGACTTCAATTGTTTCAACGAAACTTCAGTCTCCAGACGTGCCTTCAACAACGAATTCATTCATAGATAATAGTTCAAATTGTTTCACGCCAAACATATCATCGGCTGAAATTCAAGTGGAATCACCGAAAAATGTGACCATTGTTCAACCGGCCAAATTTCAGCCGTACAAAGAGGTGACCAAGCCATTTGAAATGTCCGATTTTTATAAATATTCGACGAAATTCCGTCAAAAAACCGCTTCAGCCAATATAATGCAATCGGAAAATAGTTCACCACAATTACCACCCAAGAATATAATGCATCAAATGAAAAATGCACATAGGCACATGCACTCAGTATCGTTAAGTGCAAATGTCGCTGAACCAACGTCACCAGTCTACCCATCACCGATAAACCAATAAATACAATACAACAACATGAATCCAACACACACGATTCGATAATTAGTATTGCGGGATGAATATTTTGATAGAACACAGTCGATCTTATCGGAAAAAAGACTTAAAAACAATTTCGATGTAAATTTTATTTTGCAGTTTAAACGGCAGCCATTTATACATTTTTGATAACGTTTTTTTATATCGATTTTTAGACAAATTAATTTTACATATACGAACTATTCGTAAGATATTAATGCATGAATTTACTTTTATTATAGACATTCGCTTTAATTGTATTTTTTAATGTATTTTAGAATAAATTTTTCGAAAATCTTTTTCTTATCAGTCGTTGTTTGAATCAAACCTTTCCATAATCATATTGAAATTTTGCGTAGAAATTGTTTTTTTTTACAGGTTTGTGTGTGGTATAGAAAAAATTGGTTAAAATTCATCTTTTCATTTACTTACATCAGCGATGAAATTGCATAAAAAGATGGTTTCTTTTTCTTCAAAGAAAAAAATAGAAAGTTCGTTTTTTGCTGTGTCTAGAAAGCATATATGCTAATGATTCCGCCACAAAAAAAAAACACCAATCATTTTTAACATCAAAAATCGATTTCTCTTTATTTTCTTTTTTAAAAAAAAGTGCTATCCAAAATGAGATAGAAAAAAATTAATTGTAAAAAAGAATTGCAAATCGGCCATCTTTCATTCGAAAGTATCAAAATGTTCTTAAAAGAAATAAATAGATAAATAATGTGATGTTTTTTGTGATGTATCAGTTGTTTGCACTTAGCAATGGCAGCCCAGCCAATTTCATGTCATTTTCGTCAATGCGACCCTCATCCGCACGAATTTTCAATCTAGAAAATGCATTGCTCATTAGTTGAATTGAAATTGGAAATAATGTGCACGAAGTATGTACCTTTCAGCGTTGTGTTCAATTGACCAAAGATCTGGCAAAAACTCTGGTTTCATCGTTTTCAAAAAATGTTCGCGCCATATACGCTCCAAACCTATCAATCCTGCATCGCTATTCTGATAGAATTCAACAACTTTTGCTCCATGTGCAGAATAGTTATCATTCATTTCACTAAAAATGAAGCAAACGTCTTTTATACAACAAAATAATAGCAAATTTTGCTTTTTTTTACTTACTATGCGTCAATGTCAACATATGACTTGAAAAATTCATCTGAAAAATTCTCCTCCTCTGGACACAGCTTCTGTAATCTGGCACGTAGTTCATGTTGTCGTTCTTCTGGTATTTTGTTACGTTGCAGGTATAGTGCTCGACAAATCGATTTCAATTCCCTGTCAAATACAAAGTGTTCTTTTTTTAATATTTGGAAACCAAAATGATTTTCAAACTATTTGAAAGAAAACTTACTTCAATCGAGGTATTTCCAAAGTTTTCGGAATGATCGGTGCATTGCAGTGTTCTGCCAATTTTTCACGGAGCTTCTCATCATGTATATTACTGATTTGATGGCATCGTGGACATAGCAGAACCACATCGTGCGAGGTATGGCCCTTCATAACCACTGAAAGTATGCCAAAAATGTACATTATATATAAATTCCCTACATGGTTACTTGGTAAAAAATCACACTCACATGGAAAATACTTTCGATAATCTCGCGGTACAACATTTTTTCGAACGTAATTTTTGTCTTCACCGCAAGCTACACATTTATTCTCTTTGGCCAATTTATAATACTTTCCTGTTTGGCCAACTGCTCTGCCGGCTGGTTCGAACTTCAATCGAACGGTTAATGGAGTTTCTGACACAATTTCGCCGAGATCTTTGTTCACATACCACATTGCTTTCCTTTGGTCAATAGTGCATAAGAGCTCACCGTCATTTGCCTCCAAAAGGCAGTTTGTGTACAATGGCTTTTGACGTATTCCACTTTTCATAATTTTCAAATTGTAAAGAGACCTGGGGAAATGTTGATAAAATAAAGTTTTAATTACAGACTAAAAGAAGCTTGAAGAGAACTCACAGATAGATATAACTTTCTATTTAATTTCACAGACATATTTGTTTTATCTTTCAAGACAATAACATTTTACAATTAAACGAGACTAACTTACACACTATTCAAGCTTTTCTTTTCTGGTTCTTGACTATTTTTCGAAACTGCTTTTTTGCCAAAGCCGATGTCAAGGTATCTAAAGCAGTATTCATCGATGATTCGTTGCAGATAAGTTGATTGTTTTTCAAACACTCGGCGCCGTTCCAGTTTGGCAATAAAAAATTTGAATAGTTCGATTCCTACATGTGCATCTTTTGCCGCGTAATCAATTTGCTTTTCATTTAATATCGGCGCCTCCCAGTCTAAAAATGAATACGTTTCACAAATAAATATTGAAAACATATTTACGCTGCATGCCACAATAGAACCAACCTGAACATCGAATGCGCCAGTCTTTGTTGAGCTTAACTTTCAAGTATTTTTCGGACATTTTGCCCAGTCCACCAGGGTAGCATTCAGTCATTTCAGCCAAGTAACGCAAATCCAATGTACTAGCTACACAAACACCATAATCTTGTGCTAAATAAGTAGCATCACCTTGAGGACCAACACCAACCTTCAGAATATTGTCATCTTCCAGAATTTCCTGTAAACCAAATATGAATCGTTTACCAAAGAAAAGTTACATGATCTTAATAACGATTGCATCATTCTGAGTTAGTCAATTGACACTTCAATCCATTACTCACTTTGAGTTCGGATGGAATCATCTGTAAATGTGATAGTCGAATCAAGGCACATAGACCACGATGTGAAGTTAATTGTAGCATTGACACCGGTCGTCGAGTTCCTGCAAAACTGACCCATTCGCAGTCAAATCCAAGCACATTATATTCATTGCAATGCCTACAGATACAAATAAAATTTCGTCTAACATTAATAAAGATGAAAAAAAAAAACACATTTAAAATGACATACATTTTCATATTTCTCATTAGAGTTCGGCATTCGTCGACTGTATCAATCACTCGAACTTTTTGGTTTCGAAGTGGATCTGTGTAATTGGCCATCACTTTTATTTGTTTAATAATTGGTGACCGATACTTGACTGCCACAAAACAAAGGCCAATTCCTGCAGCTGTAGCCGCAAGTGTGGACCCCTTAAATGGGAATTGATTTTCCTGACTCATGTTTCAACGTTCATCTAATGCAAATACGATTTTTGCGGCTTTTTACTCGAAAAAAGAAATAACACTGACTCTATGTTGTGAAACACATGTCGACAGTTCACAGCTTGCAAATTATGTTTGACATTTCGGGTATTAGAAACGTCAAACGACGTATAGTTACGTATGCAATAGCTCGAATTAAACGTTTTCATTTGTGCGAAAGCCAATGCTATATCTATTGTGTCAAAAAACATTTGTTGTGTACAATAGTATACGATATCTTTTCCAAACTTAACGTCAATCGAGTCGGAAATGTTCTGTAAAAAATATCTGACGTGTGAGTTTATGATGTAGTTTACATCAATACAATCAGAAGTACATTTTTTTTTTTTTGAATAAGTTACACACGAAGCACAATTTGGAAGAGGAGTTTTTTCGGCTTCGTGTGTTCAGTGAAGAGAAGAAAATTCGTCAATATTTGTGCGGATGAGAGAGAATGCACAAAAAATTTAGCCACATGAGTGTTACCTATACATCTTTAAATAATTTGGACAGTGGGAATGGCGGGAGAAAAGGAAGTGATGCCTCAAATCTCATGCGAGATTGGCGAAGGCAACTACGAACACCGCCGACGTATCGACTTGGAAACCGTACATTTCGCGTTCACTATCACATTGCACTGATGTGCATATGCTTTGGGGCACTGATTTTGGTATTTCTCTTCCTAAAACATGATTCCCAATCATCGTATTCAAACAAACGTAAATGGTACATACACTTATTTTCGATCACTCACGAATTATTTTTTGATTATTCGTTCTTTTCTTTTGTGATTCTCCCCTTAGGTACGTACAATATGAACAGACAACGAAAAAAGAATCCGAATACAATTACACATATCCATTAACTCCTGCCACAATTAATAATGGTGTTCATACGTATCACATTGGATTGATTGCCGATCTTGATAAAGAATCAAAAGATCCGAAAGATAAAAATGTTTGGCGAAGCTATTTGAAAATGGGTTATTTGAGTTATAATCCATCGCAAAATACAGCCGAAGTAAGTTTTAACGATCATGAAAATCCAACGGAGATCTCCGGCAGCTATTCGCTGAAAGGTCGTGGTATGGAATTATCGGAACTAGTAACTTTCAACGGACGCATGTACACATTTGACGATCGAACTGGTCTCATATTTCATCTGAAAGATAATAAAGCATTGCCATGGGTGCTATTGATGGACGGAGAAGGCAATACCGGAAAGGGTTTTAAGTCAGAGTGGGCGACAGTTAAAGATGAGGTATTGTATGTTGGATCGATGGGAAAGGAATGGACTACAAGTGCCGGGGAATTTGAGAGTTTTGATCCAATGTTTGTTAAAGCTATAACGATGACCGGTGAGGTTCATCACTTGAATTGGATTCAAAATTATCAAGCACTTCGAACTGCACTCGGAATTGAATGGCCTGGATATTTATTACATGAGTCAGCATCATGGTCTCCAATAAATCGAAAATGGTATTTCCTGCCAAGACGATGTTCGAAAGAAAGATACAATGAAACAAAGGTTACTCTCTCATTTCTATATTGTTTATTGAGAAAAGTTATTTCAAATAAAACCATTTACTCTCATTTTCAGGACGAAATGATGGGCTGCAATAAACTCATTTCGGCCGATGAAAATTTCCGTAAAATTGAAACGGTTAAATTAGGTCCATACAAGCCAACCTATGGATTTTCTAGTTTTAAATTCGTACCTGGAAGCAATGATAGTGTAATTGTGGCATTAATGAGCGAAGAATTTAATGGAAAAACGGCCACACATCTGACAGTATTTACCGTTGATGGTAAAACATTACTTGGTCCGCTAAAAATTAAAACTGATTTCAAATATGAAGGCATTGAATTTTTTTAAATGAGATGCTCCGTTATTTGTTACATCATATGTCAATTTGTACTGATTGTATACTGTATTGTAATAATAATGTGCGATATTTGTTTATAAGCTCACCTACATATATAAATAGTTTGCCTTTTTAACTATAAAACAAAGCGATCGTTTTTTGTTATGTTGCCAAATCAAGTTAAATAGATAAGCAGATATTTTAATTTATTTCTGACAAATGATAACACGCCATTTATATCCAATAAAATGCTATTTTTCATCGAATGCAATCTTTCGAAATTATAAAAAAACACATTGCAGCGAAATTCATTTTGTTTTTCTGCACATCGGTCGAACCAATAATAATAGTAATTCCTGATCATTTTGAATGGTCAAAACATTTCCAATCTCTGCTATCAAATGTTAGTCCAACCAATTTAGAAATAAGTACGAATTTACATTTTATTTTATTTTTTTTAATTTCATTTTATAAAGTACATAGGAAAACATCTGCATGGCAAAACAAGGATATTTCATGATAGTATTCTATATTTAGGAAAGCAAAAAAATGTCCATTAAATTCATAGATGGATTTTTCATTCAACGTTCAAAGTGACTAGAATTCCATTAAAGGAAGAAGAATGTGAAAACCATACGTAATGGATACGTATGGATGTTCACTAAGCTCAATTCATGAAATTTGAAAACAAAATTCAAACATAATTTCTTACATGTATATGGGGCGCAAATTTCATTTGGCTAAAAAACATACATTTTTGACTAGAAATGTGTAAGTTTGACTAGAAATGATTGATCTTAAAAAAGGTAAAATATTTTTCAGCGCAGAATTGGTTAAATGTCTTAAAAAGGTCAGTCAAATGAGATTGTATTCAATTCCATGGTTCTTTCCTATATTTAATGCGTATCATCGCTATACTAGATTGTGTCGATATATGTATATGTATATTTGTGATTTTGGCGATGTGTGCTCCTTTTCATTGTTCAACTGATTCCATTATGTTACACTAAATCCAAACTTCAAGCAAAATGTATCTCAATCGTTTTCGCATCATTGATTCTCTTGGTAATGTTTGTGACCATCTTTTCAATCCGGTCAAAATGACTGATGTGGTTACAATGATAGCTCCAACAATCGAATAACCATTTGGAATCTCTTTGAAGAATAATGTTTGCCAAAAGAATGCAAACACAATATCGGCTGATCGTGCAATCGCAACTGGTCCAGCTTCTTCCAATTGCAATGATATCGTGAGTAAAATTTGGCCCAAAAAACTAAATGCACCAAGCGCAACAACCATCCATCGATCTGAATTACAATAAGGCATACAAAGTACGTTCATAAACCAACATACAATCACTGTGTAAAGTATTCCAAAAGCTCCAAAATTGCTCATAATCACTGAATAATGAATTCCTTTTAATGCACGCAATGTAACATAGGCATTGGCTCCAAACAAGGTTGATGCAATCGCTGCAACTGCACCCCACATATTATCGTGTTCGTCATCAATGAAGAGTTCATCTGTGAAACCGGACATGGTGTCACCAAATATCATCGATGGTCGTGTTATTAACACCACACCGAATAAAGTCAATAAGATTGTAAATGCATTGAATAGTCCACATGGCTCTTTGAGAAATAGATTCGCAAAAATTGCGACAAATACAGGGGTCGAAAAAATAATGACGGATGCATCTGCCAATGGCATGTGTCTGAATGCATAAAAGCTAAGTATTAATCCCGTTGTGCCAACAAAACACCGCAAAAGTAGGATCGTTCGTTTGCCACTTGGGAAGACATCTTCTTGTTTATAGACCAAAATTGGAATAGACGGCAATAGCACACCGATGAATCTATGAAAAATTGACAATTTAAAATTTTGAATCATTTTTTTTTTGACCAGACACAAATTCACATACCGAAATGAAGCCAATTCAACTGGATTTATATCGACGAGTTCTTTTACGATGACCGAGCACAGAGAAAAGAAGAATGAAGACAATGTTGCAAGTAAAATACCTAAAAATGAGCATGAGTAACAACTGTGCATCAGTTCATGCATTTTTGATCGTCGAATTTGATGTGATTCGGCATCTGAGTCGACCAATTGATGTAATTCTAATAATTCAGACATATTTCTGTCAGTATCAATCAGTTCAGTCACTCTTAATTTTTTTGGTTTTTTGTTTGTTTGGCGCACTTTATTCAATATTCACTCTTATTTGTACATTTTTGAATGAAAATTCACTCATTTTGATGCGAAAAATGATAATTTATATTTAAAACACATATTTCGACGTATTTTACTTGTAATGCGGATATTGTCTACTTTTCTTGACCTTTTTTTTCCTTTGGCCACCGTTCAATGAAAAATTCAGTTTCGATTGCGTTAATTTATTTACGATACGATGATATCGAGAAGATAAATGTCATCGAAATGACAAGTCGCACTCATTTCGGAGTGCGTACATTTTGACAGTTCGGGCAATGCGCTTATTTATCATATGACAGTTGAACCGCTTTTGTTAGTTTGTTTATGTTTTTCGTTGTTTATTGGTTGCCAACGAGTCTTCTTCTTCAACAAAAAAAAGTGTTTATGCAAATTGTTTGTGGTACTTTATATTTTATGATTATAATCCAGTTTCCAAACACTTTACAAAAGTTTGCGTGCAAAAGGAAATTTATTTAGTGCCAGTTTTCACCCCAATATTCTTTGCTATACACAGGTAAAAGTGGAAAAAAATTATACAGAAAAAAAACTGTTTGTGATAGTTCATTTTATTTGGATGTTCATTCAATCACAAAAATTTGCATAAAATTCATAATTTTAATTCATTTTTTAATAATAAATATATACGTTGAATTTTGCCAAAAATAGCATTAGGAAATGAAATATTATCAAATAAATTAAGAATTTCAAGTAAACCATTCAAAAGCTCTGACAGATATAGAGACGCTTACTATTATGAAAATAATTGACCAAATTCCATTTTGAAATAAAACAACTTGCGTAATTATTTTTTCAAAAAATGTCGTTTTGAATCGAGGTCGTACTCCTTAAGTATATACAAAATTTGTTTATAAACAATATAAAACGATGCATGCATTTTGCAAATGATTTAACCCAATTCTGATAACACAGAGTCCAAATCTTGTTGCAATGTAACCGAATCATCACGTAGTTTGTTAATTTCATCAACAAGACGATCCAAATTGGCTTGTCGCAATAGATTGCCTTTCTTAAGTGCTGCCAATCGACCTTCGTGCCGTTTGATACGTGGTTCGAAATTCGTTTTCTTCTTCTCATCGGATGCGTCCTGAAATATGTAACAAATTAAACACGAATATACACGCGGATCGCAGGTTCTATGACATCTTTTAAAAAAATACCTCTGGTTCACTCTCTTCCGTCTCACTATCCGAAGAACCTTCAGAGCCATCAGAGTCTTCTGATTCAGACTCTTCGGCTTCGCTGTCTTCTTTTTCATTTTCACCTTCATCTTTTCCTTCGCCTACAGATTTACATTTTCGTTATGTTAATAATATGTTAATGCCCAATATTATTATGTTAGGTTTGAATTTTTTTAATCTTAATAACGTTATTATTATATCGCCATGATAATAACATATTATCTTAATAATATGTTTGAAAATATCTTAATAAGATTTTATTAAGATCAGCCGTATCTTAATAAAATCGAATTATTATAATCTCAATATTATTAAGATATTTTCAAACATATTATTAAGATAATATGTTATTATCATGGCGATATAATAATAACGTTATTATTATGTTATGTTGGGCCAAACATATTCGAATTATTATTATGTTATGTTATATGATAATAATATGTTATGATCGGTAAATCTGTACCTTCGCCATCTTCATCCTCATCATCTTCGTCTTTCATTAGTGCAGCCATTTTGTCAACTTCTCGTTGTAATTTCTTAAACTTCTTCTTTTCGTCTCTGTAAAGATTTTTTTTTTTGAAATTTCATTATATTTTTCCACGTTTGAATTCAATCTCACTACTTACTTAAGTGTAACTTGATTCTTTTTCATTGATTCTCGAATTGCTTGTCGCTCTTTCTTTGCGTTATGTTGTTTATCCTTAAGTCTTTCTAATTTACCCTTCAAGTATTTAACTTCGCGGGTCAAACGTCTTTTTATCCGTGCTTCCTTTTGCTCTTCGTCCAATTCATCGTCTTCTGGGCCGGACGAATCGAAATCTGGTTCGGGTGTCGTTTCCTTAATGGGAGCTTCACTTTGACGACGTGAATTTGTACTCGATGGCACACCCTATACATATAAATAAAATGTCAGCCTTTTTTACTCGATAAACAAAAGCGCTAACTATATAACAAACATTTTGCGAATATGTTAATTTTCTATTCTGAAGTTTATAGAACGAAATGAAAAATTCAAAATGCCATGCAAAAAATGAGTGCTGTTATTTTTTCTATTCACCGGAAGATCGACCGATGTGTGTACCTTATCGTAAATGTTAATTGATTTTAAGGAACCGCAATAGCTGCACCAGTCGTCCTTTTTGTTTGCGTGCGAATAAAATTAGACAGCGAAAAATTGATAAAGCGAAAAAGAAGCAGAAAAAAAAATCTGAAGCCATTACAGAAACTAACAACTTTACCTGTGTCTGTGCCAATTTTTTCTCCAATTCAGCAATCTTACGTTTTTGCTCTTCAACCTCACTCTTGACTGAATCCAATTGGCCGGCTGCATCTTGATATTTCTTCTCTAGCAGTTTCGATGTGTTTTGTGCTTCTTCAGCTTCGGATTTTAGTGAATTGATGAGTGCATCATTGTTTCCACCCGACGACGAACTCTTCACTTCACCGCCACTCTCACCGTCGTCCGTTTTCGATTTACTTAATTCGGCTTCTAAATTTTGTATTTTGGCTAATAAACGTTTATTTTCACGCTCTTGTGCTTCTTTATTTCGTAGCTCTTGGGCTAACATCTGTTTCGTGCTCTGTAAATCATCGCGAAGTTTATCGATGTCATCCATTTCATCGGCAGAATCTGGAAATGTTGTCTCCTACAAATGAAACGATGAATATGTGGTTATCTTTTACAATTTGTGAATTCTTGAGCAAAACAAAAAGCAGAACATGATATGTGTACCTCAACTGGATCTTGTCCCATACCCAATTGCGCTCGAGACTCGGATTTTTGAATTTGTTCTTCGATCGTCATTTGTTTACGGAATTTACGCAATCCTTCGAGTACCGGCCTCGAGCGATCATTTGTTTTCGTTGGTTTTAATTTAATGCCAAATTGAATCTGTTTCAACAATGCATTGTGAACATTTGCTTTTTCCGATTCAAAAACAAATTGCCCCTTTATATTTGTTATTGTTTCGGATTTTAGAATTGGATTCGATCGATCGTTACATTGGACGTGGCGTAGTTTTCTACCCTGTTCCACTTCTTTCATCATATCAGACCAATCGGGACGTCTTCGTGGACGTGATTTTAATTTTTCTAACGTTTCTTTTCCCTTCTCCGACATTTCTTTTTTACTAAAATCTTGTGGCGCACATAAACCGGGTCTAAAATGTTGAAGAAAATAGATTAATTCAGTATGTGATACTTCTTTAATTATGGGCAGGTTATTCTTACGGTGGAGGCGGTGGTGGGCACATTTTCGGAGGTGGTGGAGGTGGTGGTATCGATGCTGAAATTATAAAGCAATCAATCAAATATTACAATTGCGAAAAATTTCATAGCAATCTTTTGGAAGCCATTGAATTCAAATAAAAATTCAAATTCCATCAGCGTTCAGCGTAAACATTCGAAGCTAAATAAATTCAAAATTCTTCCTAAACAACTTTATTACCTTAGTCAACCGAAATGAATAAAAACAGAAAGAGAGAAAGAAAAAGAGAGAGAGAAAGTGTAGATATATAAAATTCTGATACGGATATTTCATACGTACTTCGGAAAATTCATTGCTCATGTCAAAGCCATTCCAAACATCTACTTTAACTAATGAGCCAAAAAAGCCAAATCGATTGCCAAATTGCAGATAGTTGTCGGTTTCCATATGCTGTTTGAGTTTTTTTTCAGGATTTTACAAAAGGATTTTGTAAACAAACATATCATGCAATACGAACTTTCATGAATACGCACAATTTTGAATACTTAATTGAAAATCTATATATGTATATGAATTCGTATCTGTCGGTGGTTGTGAGAATGCGGTCATAATTCATTCGATTCCTCGAATTTATTTTTGGCAATGAAAATGATAGACAAAATATTTTTGGTGGATTTGGCATGTGGGAGAGGCATATATACATTGAATACACGAGAAAAAATTTGTGCAAAAAATAGGCGATCATTTCCAGACGATCAACACATTTTCGACATCATCTACGTATGCATTCGTTTTAGGAATTTGGGGAACAGGGATTATTTCGAATGACGTTATTGAGGAACGCCAAGAGCGCTATGATTTTTTTTAAAAAAGTACATTTAGTGCAAGGTTAAGAGCATGACATACGAATGTAAAGAATAGAGAAAATAAACGAAAATATGTCGCTTAAATTAATGCGTTTTTGGCACAAGAAATTTATGACAAATTTACACCAAAGTGGATTAAAACAAAACAATTGTTGTGTTGTTTCATTCATATGGCATGCGTGTGTATATGTGTGGCAGTTCATTGGCTGTGCGCTATTCAGAGAACACGACATTTAATTCATTTCGAAATGTGCATTATTCATTAAGAGTTTCGAATTACTTGAACGACATTTCTGCATCATTTATATCGAATTATATGATTTGTGGCCATGCCGCATGTGTGCAAAATGTTGTCTAGTATGTGCACAGTATGTTTTGAATTGTGTTTTCTGTGTCTTCAAAATAAAATGTAATTTCACAAGCCAATGAACATGGGAGGTGATCACTAAACTATCATCATCATCACAAACAAATGAATAGAAAAAAAAAAACGAACCGGACAAAAACTGAAATGAAATGTAACTCACGTTTTTTCGTTAAGCTATCCTGCTTACGCAATTGTGGTCGTTGAAATTCGAAAGTTTTCTCTGGTTTTTCCTCCGGTAAAATGGGCTTTTCAACATGACGCAATACTTTTGATTCGGGTATCGTTGGCGGTGGTGGTTTTGGCTTATTGAGTTTGTCAAGTGTGGGGACTTTTTTAAGGGCCGGTTTTGCCCAGGCAGGTTTTGCAAACTTACCACTTGGTGATTTTTTCACTTCGGCCGGCTTTTCGACTGGCTTCAATTTCACTTGGATCGGTAGCTTGTGCTTATTTTCATCATCCTCCTCTTCCGAACTACTTCCGGACTCTTCAGTCTCCTCTTCTTCCTCCTCCGAATCGGTAACTTCTTCATATTCAGACGATGATGTCTCATAATTATCTTCGGGTACGGTGACTTTAACCTCTTTTGGCTTTGGCTTTACCAATGGTTCCGGTATCGATGGTTTTCGCTGCGTTACAACTGGCACTTTTATTTCACGTGATTGTAATTTTACTTCTTTTTGTGTGCCATTACTATCGGCTGGAGTTGTTGTTAAATTCCGTTTCGACCATGGTGCTTGGGTTGTCGATGTGGTTTTACCAGCATCTTTTAACCATGGTGCGCGTGTTGTAGCATTCGTTTTTGGTACGGCACCATCTAGTTTACTGGATACCGTTGATGTTTTACCAGCCGGGCTAGACGCTTTGCTAGCTGCAGTTGGTGTTTTACTAGCAGCGCTAGGCGTCTTGCTAGCGACGCTCGTTTTTGTGCCTGTTATTGGCATCGATAAAATACAACTGTCGAAATAAAAAGTTATAACCGTTTAGGAATAATGCAACAAAAATAGTCTTTGATCTTAAACTTAAAAAAAAATCACTTCATATTTTAAATTTGACATCATGTTTATTGTTGAATATGAAATTTTTCCAACAGTTTTCGAGTATTTTTTTCGAATATTTTCAGAGTGATGATATCAATCAAAATGAAGCGATAATGGAATTTGTCAAAATCCTTTTCATCGCCAAACTTTTTCTTTTTCTAATTTAAGCCGATTTTAAATGTTAAAAACAAAATGAAGGCTATTTGAATAAAAATACACATTGTTTTTTTCCTCGTTCAATTTTGGCACACCCATATGATTCCGAAAGAAAATAACATATGTCATCCAATCAAAATATCCTAACATGTTTAAGATGAGTTTTGATTTGAAACGAAAAAAAGGAATGTCTACAATATTTAGCTGCAGCCTTGTGTGCAGCGTGGCGATTGACATAAGTTTATAGTGCAACACAAATCAAATTCATTTTATTTTTCCTTTTCCTTCTCTTCTTCGATCTGGCGATTATTGCATTTGCGGAAAAAAATGTTTCAATCGACTATAAAAGTGTGAATGAACAGAGACGGCAATATTTAAATGAGATGGCGAAAATCATATCTGTACGCAAATGTTTGAAGAGTGTGCATGCAATCGAATTTTTTTTTCACTCTCGCGACATTTCATTTGGTTTCAATTTTTTTTTCGTACGTTCGCTTATTCGTATTCTAGTTGAGTGTTCTATCGAGTGAGTCCAAAAATAACATTTAGTTTTAAGCGGCGGGTGAAAATCTTTAGCTGATTCTACGTGTTTTCGATTCGATTTTTTTTTGTGTGTGAATATATTTTGTCGTTGTTTCTTTTGACCGACCGAACAATTTTCTTCGTCGTTGATGCCTTTTTATTTGGGTGATTTCGAAATCGTTGCTTTGCCTACTAAGAGTTTTGTTTTCTCTCATTATTTATTTAATCGCAGTTATTTTCATTTGATTTTTCAATGTGATGTCATTCACATAAATTATCAGTCATAAAATGCGTATTTTGTTTTGCCAATAACATTTAGCCATGGCAATCAGTTGGCCCACCCATTCATTCAGATGAACGAAAAAAATATCAAAAACACTTAGCCATTCATATCAATGACATCTTCGCACTTTGTATTCACATTATTGTCTATACTTTTTTTTTGAGTTTCCATGAATTTTCACATATTACCTTCAAATAATTTCACGGCAAATATTACCAAATCGTAATTGAAAACAATTAGTTGAATGCAATGAAAATTTGGCGACTTGCAATAACGATGCGCAATTTCTTTTTTTTTTTAAATAAAAATAATCGTTGCTTGTTTCAAGCGTTCTTTTACAGTTTACTCACACAGCAAATTTTAAATTTTATGCACTGCAAATTTTAATCGACTTCCGAATGGTTCCTTTCTTGTTCGAATGTGTAGCACACAAAAAATCAGTCTTTTTTTGAAAAATTACTGTGAAAAATGAATATAAAAAAAATCGAATGGAAAATGTTTGCAATTTTCACTGATTCGCGATATTGGTGACGCTCAACTAAGCATTTGTCCGCCACTCGACTATTACGACTGCCCGATATTCATGAAAATCTCACTACAATGACGCGTATTTCGATCGTTAACGAATTTAAGTTTTCATTTCGGTATTTGTGTGCACGATTCCACTGACGCATTCTCAGTCTCTACAGCTGTGGGCGTTCTATCGTCATAACGTTCATTCGAGCACACTGTGGTTGTGTTTTCTTTTCTCCGTGTAACTATTTTTTTTCTGAATCTATTTGCGAGAATTTTCATGGATTTTCACATGTGTGTGTTGTATTTCGTCATCCGACTGATCCTCATGGCTTATATGCGTCTCTTTTTTCTCATTCAATTCACACATGTATATATAACACAGGCATGTCGTCTACATACATAATTGTCGAATTTCTATTTTTGCTCGAAGACGATCGTCTTCGATTCATTCGTATCGGTTGCCTTCTTCCTTTGCAATTTTCTCATCATCTGATGTTTTTTGTGTCGATATCTCACACACTGACCTCTGGATTGACTGAGTTTTCCACATACACATACATATTCGCGTGCTCGCATATATTATAATATATTCGAACACGTTTCGGACTTTGCATTCGCGATATACAATGAATTTGACTATGATTTAGTTTGTTTGCTATTTGATTTATAGGTTTTGCTTTCAAATTGGAACAACTTATCATACACATCATTTGAATACAAGCTATACATATAGATTTTCTTCGTATTTTCATTCGAGATTTGTTTACAAATTGTCATTTGCGTTGTTAAGCATTCGTATCAACATTAATCACACCATTGAATTAAGAGCATTTCAATCGAAAATATCGCAATTTATTATTTCCAACAAATGGTGTGTGTAAGTCTCCATTTCTGAAATCTAAATGCATGAAATTGAATTTAATTCACATTGCATAAGTATTCGGTTTATGAAATTCTTTATTAAAAATAATAAAAATATAAAAAAGTCCTAATTCTTTGAACGATTTTTTATTAATTTGATTGTTCTTAGCAATCACATCATTTATAATATCTGTAATATTTTCTTTAACGATATAAATTTTATCTCGTCATCTTTTATGCCAAAATGTGGCCAACTCTGGATCTCATTGTATAGAGCTTCGCCTGGACAGCTTGTAGCACGAACTTGTTTATGTCCAAATAAAGTATAATTGTTCGATAGATACTGTTTTTCTACAGCATGTTGGATCAGATCCTTTGTTGCCTGGAGCATTTCATTTGTTGGAATCGCATCTTCTGTCGAATGAATACCAAATTTGAATAAAGTTAATGTCCGTTTTAAGTTTGCAAGAAATTGGTGCATTACTTACGTTTGCCAAAGTCCCCAATCAGACAAATACCAATGCTTCTATTATTATATCCCGGAGCGTGAGCACCGATTACATTAAAGCCACGACCCTCGTATACTTTTCCATCTCCAGCTATGAAAATTAAAGCAAATTTTATCTGATGCAAATAAAAAAATGTACTTGATGAAAAGAAGCATCACAAAGAAAAAACAGAAAATGTAACTCACTGATAGCCAATATTGTACCAACCGCGTTCAACCTGATGATATCGTTGCATTCTTTGCATCGCTGTAACGCACTCTTCGGACGAATTACAAGATAATGGTGAGTAGGAATGGTGGATAATGACGTAGGGCACGGTTTGATTTATTAAATCAACGTCTTTTGCTCGCCTTGCTCCCCATTCATCGCGACTCACAATCTCCAATAGCATAACTGACTGCGCACAGAACAGCACTAAAAAAGTAATCAAACCATTCATTTCTTTGATTTTAATTCGTACGATGCATGCAGTTACTTGGAGCATCTGGTTTGACAATATAAAAAGTATTTTCTTTCTAGAAAATAAACGGTCTTTTCGTCAATAGTATTTAAATTTTTGGGCACTTGCTAAATGAAAATCCAATGCACAAAAAATTTAGTATGTTATTTTATTCCAGAGGTCATTGCATTGCAATATAATGAGTTCTGTTTTTTAGTTTTCTGAGTATCAAGTTTGGGACTTCCCCCAGTCATGCCAACGAATTTGGAAAAGGGGAACTACCGCATTATCATTTCAAATATTTTAATCAACGTTGTTTACATAACGCCTGAAACATTTCCTCATTTAATATTTAATCAAACTTACGTTTGCAAATAATTATAATAATGTGCATGCATAACATTTTTATTTATTTAGGGGAAAATCCTTTGTGTTTTTTTACTTTGAAAATCGAAAATTGCGACACTCAATATTCATTTTGATTCACAATTCAATCTTTCACAATAATTATACGACACAACTGTGAAAATTAGTTTGTCATAGACCTTTGATGCTATTTGATAATGAAAATTATACCGATTTGAACAAAAACGATTGACTGAATCATTTTTCTATGCAGTGACTAAAATCTCGTAGACGGATTTGCAGTGTAAACTATTAACAGGACTTGAAGAGAATTTTAACTTTTTTCGGGAGCATATCACCAAATTGCTGTTTTATTTCGCCAGTTCATTCGTCGATTGTGCACTCAAATGTTGATGTTTTCATTGAATTTTAATGATCCAGTTACTTTGGCTGAAATCAATTTACGAATCAACTAGTCATCATCAGTATCATTGATAAGACACATTTTTATAAACAAAGTCTAGAAAATAATTTACTTCATTGTACTTATATTGGAATTGAAATAGTCAACTCACAGGATCATATCATATGTGCGAATGATTAAATTTGAAAGAAAAATACATTTTAAAGTACTTCTTCTTTTTCTTCTGATTGTGATTCGTCTGATTAAAGAATTAGTCATTTTTTTGATGTGTGTTGATGTCTTTTTTTATCTTACAATCATCTAATATTTATACTAAATTTTGTTAATCGTCCCAACAAATCGGAGCAAGGAAATCCCAAAATATATGCTGACGTCCCCTTATAAACTCGAACTTCATTTCTTTATCTACTTACGCAAATTACTTCAAAGTTATTAATTTGTAATAAATTCATACTTTATTTATAATTTGAAAGTTTCTTTTAAAATACTGAATTTTTGCATCAACTTAAAATTGAAAATAAAATATTTGATAACTTGTGTTATTTATGAAATAAAAATTGTTCAATAATAGGTGAAATATCGTGTTCCATTACGAATGAGATTACTTATCGATTTTTCAGTCATCCTAACTATCGGCTCTGCGGATTCTAGCGGCATTGTTTGGTTTTTGTATTTGTGTTTGTGCCTGTATTGCTTGCGATCGTGATCTTTGTATTCGTACAATTTACGCTTGAGTTGGTTGTGTCTGTGGTGGCTGTACCGTTTGTGTTTGACCCATTGGTTCTTGTTCGATGTCAATAATTTTGGCAATTTCACTGAAATGTGGCCATTTTTGAATCTCATTGAATAAAGCTGGTCCGGGGCAAGCTGTAGATCGAACTTGTTTATGTCCATACAACGTATAGTTGTTCGATAGATATTTTTTTTCAACTGCACATTCGATTAAGTTCTTTGTAGCTCGAAGCATATTCTTTGGGGGCAACACATCCTCTTCCAATAGAATAAAAGCAGCATTTTTTGACAATAATGAAATAAAGTCAAATTCAGTGTAAATAATAGCAACAAATAAGAAGTCTTAGAACTTACGAAAGTCGCCAATCAGACAAATACCAATGCCATTGGAATTATAACCTGGTGCATGAGCGCCGACTTTATTAAAACCACGACCTTCGTACACTTTCCCATCGCCTCCGATCGCAAAACTGAGTAAACATTTTCAAACGTTATTAATGTCTAGTGACAAATCATAACATCAATGATAAACTCACTGATAACCAATATCGTTCCAACCACGTTCAATTTGATGAAATTGTTGAATGTTTTGCATTGCTGCAATGCATCGCTCAGAGGTATTGCAAAATTTAGGCGAGTTTGAATGATGAATTATGACATATTGCATAGTTTTATTTATTGATGCAACCAACTTCGGTGGTTTTGCTCCCCATTCATCACGGCTCACAATTTCCAATGACATAATTGACGATGCAATGAACAACGCTGTAGCAAAACAATCATTTTATAGTTTAATTTTGTGAATCATGAACCTTTTTACATTTCAATTGATCTTATTGAATATTAAACATGACCAGCTTGAGAATATTAGACTCAATACATACACTAACTGATGAGAACTGTTAAAATGAATTTAATTTCACAAATGCAACAATTAAAAAAATTAAAATGATTATTTAACGTCAAAAATGTGGATTGAAATCAATCAAAAGAGGTGTTGTCGGTGCCGACTCCAAACACCAAGTGTGCCAAACGACTAATTCAATTTCGCGGTCTCTTAAAACGACTAATTCAATTTTGCTTACTGAACGGTGGTTTGAATTGCAATAAATAAATTAAATGCATTCGGAATTGGCAATGGTCAAGTTGGTTATGAGAATTTGATACAACTTCATTGTAAATCACTTTAAAACAAAACTAGAATCGTATAGTTTTATATGATTGAAACGCGTAGAAATTATGTAAATTAAAATGATACCCATAATAGCAAAAACGTTGATTATTTGAATCATTGTCAATGGCAAAACTTTGGAGGTTGTTTTTTTTTCAATTTGTTTAGTTTTAAACGAAAAAAAAGCGTATATATAGTAGACCAACAAATCTTCACTATTTAACTTGAACGCGAGAGCGTTGTGACTGAATCGAGTCGAGCCAACTTTTAAACTGAAATCAAAATGTCAATACTAACTGATATAACCAAATTGCGATTGATTATACGCTTTTTTGCTTTTTCACCTCTACGTTCGTCAATATTTTTTTCTATTGAGTGGCTGATTATTATTGCCACTTTAAATAACACTTCATTTAAAGGGTTGCGTTCACTATATTTTGTTTATGTTCAATCGATTTCATCTATAAGCAGATTGAGTTTTTTATCATCCATGACATTATCATTCATAGTCATCGTATGCAAACACATCAATGTTATAAATGAGTAGATCATTTTTTATGTATAGCAAATCAGTTGTCAATAAAAAAGTTAACATAATTAATCGATTCGAATGTGATCGTCCGGTTTTTTTATTTTGTTTTGATTCTTAATTTGATTAATTTTATTCTAAACAAAGAAAAATACAAACATACATGGAATGCACGGTTGACAAACCACTTGCGATACTTGTTTTATCACAATCTCAGGGGAATTCCCTTGTTTCAGCTATTTAATGACATGCGAACGGTGTTGTTAACAAAAATCAAGTGAATTTTGGCTTCGATAAAATGGACGTATAGTTATAGCGATTAATTGACCATTTGATTGATACATGCTGATATTTGAACCGATTTGTCCAACGATATAATCGTAATCTAATTCCAAGGGGGATTTTTATACAATCATTGAAACTATTCAAATTACATGGGTTCATTAACTTAGCCCAAATAACTAGACATCTATTAATAATGAGCACCTGATATATCATTTCAATGTTTATTTCTATTTACAGAATGAAAGCGGTCAAAATATACGATGCAAAAGCGCGAAAGCGTGACATTGATGAGTGGAAGTTTGAAAAAAAGAAAACCGTCGACAAATACTTCGACAAATGGTCAAAAATCACAACAAGGTAATGTCAAAATTGGTAGAAAGTCGTTTAATATTTTTTTAAAGGAGTTCTAGTGTGAGATTTGATGTTTATTCGTATCGATTGGCTTTTTTGTAGATATGAACAATGGACAACACCTGAATACTATCAAACTGCGACTTCAAACTACCACAATAGTGAGGAGAAACGAAATCGATCGGTGGCCTTAGAAAGTCGACGCGAAAAATTGAAACGATTATTGGACACAGAAAAGGAACAATATGCAAAAGAACGTGAAGGTAATTAGCTTTTTTTCACTCGTGTTGATTACTTGTCATTCATCGGATGTTATTTTGAATGTTTATAGAATTATCGAAGCCAAAGCTGCGTGGTGTATCAACTGAAACACTGAGAGGGATTCAAGAGGTGTACAAGCGAACGGAGGAAGAACGGAAACGACTTGAATTTGAATCACAATTGTACAAACGCTGGCGACCCGGATCTCGCGAAGAAAATATTTTGCTGAGCTCAAGAAGTAATAACGAAGCATTGGCGAAAATGAATTGGCTTGATAAACAGGTAATTAATTTTTTTTTTTTAATTTATTAATCACAAAAATCTCATATTCAATTTATTTACAAAGATTGCTCAGCAACACGAACGAGAAAAGATCGAGCAACAGCGTGAAGTGGAGCGAGTACGTTTGCTCGAAGAATTGCGAAAAGATGATGAACGATTAAGTGCACGAAAAGCTGAACGTGACGAAGAAGTGGCTCAAATCAAACAATTCCAAGAGCAACAGCTTACCGAATTAAAATCACGTGAAATTGAAAGCGAAAAATTGCGAAAAGATGCCATTGAATTGCGTGAATGTGAAAAACAACTAAAGGTTGAATTGGCAAATTTAAATTTGCATGCAATTCAACGCCACGAACGAATTCAAGTGTCACATAATTTCCGGCGTATAAAATTTCAATTAAAAAGTCAATCCGAATCAATTTTAAAGGATTTACACTATGACATTGGTGTTTTAGAGCGATTATCCACTTACTATCACACCGATGATCAACAAATTGCACGCTTACGTGATAAATTTGAAATGGAATGTGACTTGGAGATACAAAACCAACGACACATCGAAGCAATGTATGAATCAGAGGCAAAAGTTTTTGCTATAAGACAACAGGAGATTTGGTTGAAAGAGTCACATGAACGAGAGAAATTATTACGCAAATTAATTGACGATCAAATCCATCAGATTAATACTGAAACCGATTATGTAATTGTACGTCAACGTGAACTCAGCGATTTGCGGGATAGTCTCCGTCGTTCGATTGACAGCTCAAATGATCGGATGAAAAACTTACTTGGCCTGAACAGCATTGATGAAGAACAGCGAATCAAAAGTGCCGAAAACGTTCGAAAGTCAATAACGCCGGTGCTCAGTACTCCAAATACCGCCAGAGAAGACAGTCAAAGTGAAATATGTTTGCCGGATCTGTTTTCAAAAACAATGAGTATTAACAACGACAGCATTGACTCACCGATATCATCTTCGGGCAGACCTCGTTTTGGACGCAAAAAAGTTGCATGGACCTAGGGGGGGAAACCCGGTTCTTTGTGGTGAAAAAAATGAATCTCATACATTTTCAAATAAGAATAAAAAAAAAGACTTTTTGTTCCTGATTTTTATAATTGACATTTTGCCATTTTAATTAAAAAAATATTAAATACACTTGTACAAAAATGCATTGTGTTTTTGTTGTTGTTGCTGCTGTTGTTGTGGGCATTTGCGCTACAAATAGAGTTATCGGTTTGTATTTTTCACTTGATATAGCACTGTGTTCTATGTAACTATTGCTCAATTTCTACCTGAATGAATTTTTATACATATTTTGCGAAAAGAACGAGTTTTGTCAAGTTTTTTTTTATTCAAGCAGTCATTTCACCGCGACTTATTATTTTCAAATACAAACGTAATTATATAAATTGAATTCATGTTTTTGTTCATGGTTTAACCATTTAATTGTTTTAAATTCTTTTGTGACGTGAAAAAGGTCGTATTTTTTTCTTTTTATTTTATAACAAAGTCTCAGTGAGTGATGTTTGGTTCGAACTCGTTCCTTTCTCTCAGTTGCAATAAACCATTAGTAGTATTTTTTCGTATTTTTTGTTTAATCATCTGTTTATAAATAAAAGTTCATCATTTACATACACGTAGAAATATAGTAGAAATATTTGTAATTTTAGTCACCATACATACAATGCACATTATAATTTTAGTATCATGTGAACAATCAGCATATCATTAAAGGAGATAGAAAAAGGGAAATAGCTTATAAAAAATAGCTATATAGTATTGTGACCAATGCTTTAATGAATACCTGGATTTCATGCATATTCCATTATATTGATAAAGCTGAATGAATGCATATTTTAAATGAACGTATTTGCACACACAACAATGCGGGACAATCGATCAGCTAAGCTATTTTCAATGTATAAAAGGAAATTGAGTGAGCATTTTTATTTTCGTAAAAAAAAACATTGATTTTTCGTTCGTTGTTCGTTGTGCCTCGTTTAATATTTAAAAAAAGGATTTCTGTGTTTCTCAGAACGAATGACGTTTTCTTTGGAAAACTTAGAAATAGGAACAAATGCAGCAAATGTGCCTATCCATATGCTATGTTTTTTTTTTATTCGATTTTCCAGATCTTATTGATCTACCGACTTACAGCTAGTCAACAACCACATATTATTACGAATGTCCTCACAACGAGGGCATTCTTGGTATCAAACACTGAAAAATTACAACAAAAAACTTCTTTTTTCAAAAATGGCGAACAAAATGTTGTGATATATAGCAAATGATGGTGACATGAAATCGATGTGAAAATGCACATGGTGCTTATGGTTTGATTGCCATTCGGTATGAATTGAAAATAAATTTGCATCAAAATATTCAGCTCCAAGCTAATTTAGCTTTTTCTTCACATTTTTACATTTTTGTTTTTTAAATTAGAACAGAATTAGTTCTGACACAAATTCGGTTGTTTGATCGGTATGTATGCAGCAAAATAAAAACGGTTGGCATTTTATGGTATGTGATGCGCTACTAATTTCGATTATAATGTTTTCTACAACATTTTCATTTAAATTATTATGGATAATTTCAGTGGTGAAGGGCAGAGTATCATTTTGTTATCTGTGATTTGGCGATAACAGAGAACCACACTCATATATACACATTGATCGCATCCATTTCAGAAAAAGTACATTGGTTTTTTGAGATTTGTTTTAAACAAAATAAAAACTTAAGTTTGATCAAAAACCAATGCACTTTCAGCTTTTATACAGATATTTCAACGCGTATTGTATACACTTCACCACTAAAATTATTAGCTATATTAGTTATTACATTTGTTTTTATTCAATCTGTTTTACAAATATCCATTAAATAATTATCATTTTCAATTTCATTTTTTTTATTTTCATTGTTTTTAAGATAATGTTTTTTTTTTATTTATGATGAAAAGAATTTCTTTTGAAATTTTGTGTTGTGATTTAACTCCATTGTTTTTTTTTTTCATTCTGGGTAATAATTATTTATACACACATAATATAATTGTAACCAGGTCAAAGTAGACTGCATCGAGATAACCAACTGTCGGTTTTCCTTTTTGGTTCTGAGGCACGCAGTTGATGGCCGCCTTTGGGTGGATTATTTGTTTCCTGTGCACAACGAAACCCCATTATTAAATCATAAATGTATTGGAAAATTTGAATGAATAATGCATTGTGACATGGGGTGCAATTTCAGCGATTGAGTTCAGCGCTCTCAAGGCGATTCAAATATTGGTTTGAAAGGACTTACCATTCGTTTTTCCATTTTCGCTTTGATGTCGCTGGCAAGCGTAAAGAATGCCTCTTCAACATTGATGCTCGCCTTAGCCGAAGTTTCAACGAATTTTATGCCATACTCAACAGCCAATTTTTCGCCACGATCTTTCGTTACCTATGTAATTATCGACGATTAATTTTCGAGAAGAAATAAATAGAGCGAGAAGTACAAAAATGATTCGAACCTGTCGTTTTTCATTGAGTTCACATTTATTTCCTAGGAGCATTTTTTCCACATCGGCCGAAGCATTCTCTTCAATATTTCTAATCCAGTTTTTAATGTTTTCGAATGATTTTTCATCTGTTATATCGTACACAAGCATAATTCCCATTGCGCCACGATAATATGCTGTGGTGATTGTTCTAAAACGCTCCTGACCGGCCGTATCCCTTTAATTAATAAAATGAACCAATTGAATGCATAACCAAATGAATAAATCAATTGCGATGGATTCAAAATATCACCACTTACCATATTTGAAGCTTGATTTTTTTCCCATCTAATTCGATCGTTCTAATTTTAAAATCAATACCTAAATACCGTGATGAATGAAGGAAATGTGAAGAGGCAAGAATTAGGTTATTGTTTATCAATAATTCATAAAATGATTATCGTTCGTTTGTTCTTTGGTATTTTGTGTGAATGCGTGTGGGCTGTATATGTCTTTCGTATTGTTTTTTGTGAATCATGTTTAGCTTATCGAGTTGGTTATCGCATTGAGAGCGTTTGACGTTTTTAACATTGTTTTAACGATTGCAAGTAGTATTTAAATGATATGATTACTGCATTTATGAGAAAAACTAACAAAATTTATCTTGCATTCTCGTTGATTAAATGTCGTATGACTTTTGCTTTTTTCAACTGTAAATATTTACGAAATATGTAGCACCGCTTCCCGTTGGATGTACGAATAAAATATTAAATGTACATTATTATCAAAGTGATGTTGTCACCCGCGTAAATTCATGATTCATTCAGCTACTTTATCGACCAGCAACAATGTTTTGTACTTTGTGCATATTATTTCCTTCTCGTCTCATTGCGCCACAGAAAATTACAAATAAAATGAAATCGACTGCAGTCAATACTGGAAACTTGATGTTCGATCCCAATGACAACAACGTATTTAAATAAGCTCTGCGGAGACGAAATATCGAGAGAAAACACAACTCAAATACGTATATTATGTGCTCAATGGAACTAATTGCATCTATTAGTAAATTGGTTTGCTCAAGTAATGCCAGCATTTAATCGATGTGATTAAATAAAATACGCACGCATGTAGTGCGTTGATCTTGCAGCGCACATTAAAACATGATAAATGGTATTTCATTTTGCCCCGAATCACTTTCAATGCACTCGATATGTGATCGCATACACTTATTGCCGCCATCGACGTCGTCATCTCAATGGAATATATTGAATGCTGCCGTTGATTGAATGGCTTCGATTTGTTTTCAATTTTAAATTAAAAATAACTTCAAAGTGGCTTATGAGGAAAACCACAAAACTGTGACGATTGAACACAATATGCATTATATGCACTTAAACCCAATGCTTCTCATAACATCCATTCTCAGATTCAGAAAATGAAAACAAACATTTTGATATGCGAACAATGAGCTCTTATTGTTTCCTGATTTAGTCGATTTGAAGAAGCACTTTGTAATTTGTGTGATTGAAATAAATTTTCGTCATACGAAAAGCACACATTTAATCAGTTTTAATAAATTCTCAGAATGCAGTAGCTGAACCGAATTAAATTCGCCGTTTATATGATCATATTTGCATATTGTTAACATTGAGAATGTAATTTTTTTTTACATAATTATTCGGTGTGCGGCGTTGCCATTGGCCCTGATGAATGGCATGAGTTTTCTATCGGTTTAAAAATAAACAGAAAATCTAAATCGCAGTAGACACTTATCAGAGAAAAAATATACATTATTTGAATAAATTTTTTGGCTCGAGATCAGGTCACACGAATATACACGATTTCTAACTACAATGCTACGATTTTCATCTTATTACAACGGAGAATAACCGAAACGGAATTTTTTTTTTCACTGCAAACAATACACCGAAGAAGAATGAAACTAACACAATTTTTAAATGGATAAAACGGAGCGCGATCGTAAAACCATTTAAAAAACTTTGTATATTGAAACACATGTTTAGATTAACAAGTCGATTAAGCTTGTAAATGATTCTCTTTTTGTTTAATTAACTTTTTGAACGTAAACACACACATGCCGCCAGCCGCCACAAAATTCAAGCACGCAAACGTCAATTTATCATTTAGTTTTTCACTTGCATTTATTTTTCACTATGTATGTAGCTATGAGCTCACTCACCTATGGTTGAAATGAATGTCGTGTTGAACGCATCTTCTGAGAAACGGAAAAGAATGCAGGTTTTTCCAACACCCGAATCACCAATTAACAGCAATTTAAATAAATAATCATATGTTTTTGCCATTGTGTCTTTGTCGTTGACGCTTTCTTTATATATGATTTGTATACGGTGTATTTGCGTGTAAAAGAAATATCTCTGGTTTGGCCTCAGATGTACGAACCTTTCAATCGAAACACGATGATGACTATATTTCTCACAGTGACACACACTCACTCCTTTCTAATACGAACGGATAAAACGATAAATGCGTATAACGACGTTTCAAACGTTTTGACTGGTATGTATGATTGTGTGTGTGTGTGTATGACTGGTATGTATATGTACACAATTCAACAATCAATCGGGGCGATAGAAACTCGGCTCCGTTTCACTGTATGTGTGATATACTATACACGTATATATATGTATGTTTTATTGTACACCCAATGGAGTGTGCGTTTTTCAACTGCCTTCTTGATGGTATTCTTTACAACTTTGCTCTCTTTTTTTCTAGTTTCTTTCTCGAACCATCAACAATAATTTTGGTTCTTTGTTTTCACGTTTGTCGAAATTCTGTAGATATAAACCAAAATTTTAAAACATTTACTATGCGATTAACATATAAAACGCGAGATAATGTTCAATGAACAATTCACAGCGCACAAATAACAAATTGTAATTGCCGAATGAAAATGAACAAAATGAATATCAATAGACACTCTCTTATTTTTATTATTAATTTACCGATCGCTTTTCTGTCAACTAAACTATTTCTTTTTTGTTTGAACCGGAAGCGTTCAATTGAACTGTTCTTTTAACTCAAACTAACTCACTGTTTCGAACTTCGGGCGAGAAATTGAATTGAACGATGATAAATCAGGCAAAAAAAAATTGTTAACACTACCGCTTTCTCTATTTGATGCTGTTCATTTCGCATGAACCAAATTACAAAACCGATGCACGATTTTTCGTATAAAATTTTTTGGTAAAAAACACTTAATTGTTCACTGTCTGTCAAATCGATTTGAACCAATCAAAAGCCAATAATAGTTTTCTCTTTCGATGACAACACATAATGCTCGTCCGATGGAAAAAAAATGCAGCGATGAAATGTGGGATATTTATTTACACTGTAGATGGCGCTTCACACTCCAAAGTACAATGTAATCCTTGGAAGTCACCGATTTGATTTCGTTGTTTTTTTCCCTCATTTTAGAGTTAGTGAATGTGTGTCTGGAAATTTATATTTTTCGCTAGAAGAACTGTTTTTCGGTAACTGTTCTGCGCGAAAATCGATTGGAAGCTACGGTTAAAGAAACACATAATTTTCGGTTTATTACTACTTGAATGACATTATTTGTGTAAATATCAAACGTTATAGTTTTACATTTTTTTCGTTCAATTGAATAATTTAATTTTAAATTTCATATTGAAGATTTTGCTGATGAACATATAAAATCAAAGCAAAAACACTTGTTGCATTTTGGTCGGTGGTGTGTTTATTTTGCACAAATCATTATTGTATTGGTATTGCAGCGGCAACACCATTCGTGGAAATAAAGAGAATCCTATTGACAGGCGGCCCGCTTTATTTTTGTGCATTGCAATAACATCAGAGAATAAGTGACTGTCATTGGTTGTAGTTTTGAATTTCAAAACGCAGCAAATTCTAGCGGTGCACATCACAATACACTCTTAGACAGTGCAAAGACTGGAACTGAGTAGAAAAAAAAACTTTTGTAAAAACCACCAGAGACAATTTTACATACGACTTGCTCCGCGTCCTTTTGGAAATAATTTCACAACAGCCAGCAAAAAGGAATCGCCAACATGAACGAAGAGGAAGAGTTTGACGATGATTTCAGCGAACATTTGATGTTTCCAGAATCACCGGAAGAAGTAGCGACAACAGAAGAAAACGCATTTGAAATAGTAACTATGGAACAAATCCTTCAAGATGTATACGAAGGCGTAGAAGATCTTAGAATGATTTTGAATGTAAGATTTTTAATTATTTTATGATGTTTCAAAAAGTAAAATATAGAAAAAATTATATGAACATTTTTGTAAGAATTTTTTTAAAGAAACACACACACATGCATGCATGCATATTTGAATTTAAACAAACGCTCAACAAAGTAATAAAATGAATGTTTATTTATTTAGCTGCCAAGTTTGGTGTCTGCTCGAATGTTATTGAGCCACTACAAATGGAACAAACAACAGCTCATTGATGAATATTACGATATCGGTGCGGATGCAGTTTTTCAACTAGTTAAGTTAAAAAATCCATTCAACATCATTCCAATCGTAGGTGAGCCAAATGGCACACAAGAAGATTGTCAAATTTGCTACGTCGAAACAGAGCCCGACGTAAGTATACGATAAATTAAAATCAACACGTAAAAAATCGGTATCACAATGGAAAATGTCTTAAATAAATCCGATGACAGGAACTTTACAATTTGGCTTGTCGTCATAAGTACTGCAAAACATGCTGGAATGCTTACCTTACAGAAAAGATAGCCAATGAAGGTTTAAATGAAGCAATCGTCTGCCCAGAACCAACATGCGGTGCGCTGGTTGACGATGAAGATGTTTTCCAATTGGTCGTAAAAGCGGACGTAATTCAAAAGTATCATCGATCCATTACAAATTCATACGTTTTGGTACGTTCATTTTTGGTAAATTTGGCGTCAATGGACCATTTTTTAAACATTTTACTTATAATTTCTATAGAATAATGAGACACTTGCTTGGTGTCCATATCCTGGCTGCGAATATGCAGCGAAAAAATTACAGACGGTTAAAACATTTTGTTCTTGCTTGTGTGGATTTGATTTTTGCGTTGAATGCCTTGATACCTGGCACAAACCCGTCACTTGCATTCAACTCAAACAATTTAAAAGTGGCAACGACGCAGAAATGTACAGATGGATCCAACACAATACCAAAGTTGTCAAATTTTGTCCAAATAAGAAATGCGGCGTCATCATTGAAAAGAATGGTGGCTGCAATCACATGGTAAACATTCATTTAATTTTTTTTCACCGTAAGCATTTTAAACTCTAAATTTATTTGATTCTATTAGACATGCCGTAGCTGTGCCTGGGAATTTTGTTGGATATGTTCAGGAATGTGGAAAGGACATACAGGTGATACAGAAAATAGAGTAGTAATTGTAAATCGAAGAAAGAAAATTAATTATTTTCTTCATTTTTCGTGATTTAGCCTGTAATCGTTTTGACGATACTGGCATTACTGGTAATCTTATAATGGCCAGGTATGTATTCTATTTTCAAAAAAAAAAAAATCTTTCCATGTTGTCCATGATTTTCGTAGATACAAACATTTCAACGATCGGTTCATAACCCAGCTGGAATCTTTAAGAATCGAAGCCAAAATCTATAAGGATATGGATGCCAAAATAGCCTATTTGCGAGAAAGATGTAATATGACCAATAATGAAGTATGTGTAAAAGAACAGCATCTTGTTCAAAAGTGTATTTAAAATGAAATTTTTGTTTTAGTTGAAATTTTACCGTGATGCGGTGGTAATTATACGCATTGCCCGCCGTGTGTTGACCTATACATTCGTGTTCGCATACTTTTTGGTCAACAACAATCACGTGGAAATATTCATAGACAATCAAACCGACTTGGAAAATGCCGTTGAACGTCTTTCGGAATATTTGGAAGAAGATTTGCATACAGGAACAATCGATGAGTTCAAGCAATACATTATAGAAACCGGCAAGTAAGTAACACAATGCATTAAACGACCGTTGATAAAATTTCAAATAAAAATGATTGTTCTCATTACAGATATTGCGAACAACGATGCCAAGTGCTTATGGATCATATTCGTGAAGCGGAAGAAAAACATTTGTGGGAAGTTAACGAACAATAGAAAGTTTTAATCAAATGTTATTTTTTACGATATATTCTATTCTCAACATTCTATCTGTTTAAAGTACAGTTTTTATACAATCCATTTTTTTTAAATATTACGATGTAAGACAACCATGTGATGAAATTTATGTGCTCATTTCGTGGACACATCGAGCAATAAACAATTAAATAAAGTTATTTTGGCGCAGAATTTCGTTCAAAGTTTTTGAAGACTCATTGTTCGTTTGAACATACAAGCAATAATAAAGCAAACAGAACCAAAAATACCCGAATCACTTGGTGAAACATTCAATGTATATAGAATGCATTTTGTTCATAGATTGTGTAAATTAAAATATTTAACTGTTGGAGTTCCGTTCACTGAGCAGTTCTATTTTAATTTCATTTCTGATTTCCATAATATTCGCAAGCTGTCATGCGCCAAATCTCATTTGGTAAAGTTTTGAAAATCAAGACAAAATATTCATCGCTTTTTATTATCGCTCTTTATTTCAAAAGATACACATATTATTCATATTTTATTTTATTTTTGTTGGATTTAATAGATTTGATTATATGAATTTTGGATTAATTTTGCTAGGAAATACAGTTTTTCGGTCCAATGTCTTCGCCATCTGTAGCAAATGTTATTCTAATATAGCGATATCTTTTTTTTAAAATTGAAGTAGGCTCTATCACCTTTAAACTTGATGGGTAAAAATCCTCTATTTGGCTATTGATACTTTGTAAGCGTTTCTCAAATAATCTCTGATTTCCATCAAAGTCTTGCCGAGCATATTTTTCCCGTTGCCTTGTAGACCATTGCCCCAATACGAATCGTACCTTGCATTTTCAATAAGTGTTGCATTCCCCGTGTCCAATAACATTTTTCGAATATCTTCATGCTGCTCAAATTTCGTCAAACATCCTTTGAACATCACATCATTGCGGATTCTATTCCAATCATTTTTGATTTGATAATCACGAGATTGACCCAATTTTTTGGCTTCTTTTGGACTTTTGACAGTTCGTATTTTTTCAGCATAGTTTAAATCTTGAAATTTTTCTGCTTGAAAATAGTGTTCTACTGTTCCATACATTTTTCCATCAACTTCAATTGGATAGCATGCAAAATTGGACATAAATCCATATTGATCATTTAAACGTTGAAATTTAATTACGTTGGACATTTTATAGAATATGTCAAAAAGTATTGTTAATACGTTTAATAAATATGCACAACAATAACAATAATGCTAACATGTATTACCGGTGTTAAGCGTTCTAAATAAAGTAAAGAAATGTAACAAAATTCGCATTAAATCAGAGATTAGAAACGCTAGAGTGTATTAACACTGTTCACTGTCAGTGAATTTTTGTCAAACTAAAATGTTCAAGTCATTTGATTTGAAATATATGACACTTCCATGGACACTGCACATCGCGATGAAATCATAATATATCACTGTGAGGTTATATAGATTCCGCTAAATTTTTTCTCACATATATGAGTGATGATGATGAGTTAAGTTGGTTGCACCCCAGGTATACATGATTCCAATGAAATTGAATTTCGTGGAATTAATTTACCGAAAAATTTACATACATGTTTAAATATAGACTGTTTGAGCCACCGCTTGTTTATTAAATTAGGATATTATGCAAATATGCAATGAGGGGCTGGTGTTTGAAATACTTACGAAAGAGGATATTTTCGAACTAATGAGAATTTTCTCATAAAAAATGCACATTTGAATTTAAATCAGTTGCTGCAACGTTATGTAAACACAGAATTTTCAATTTTCGGACCCTTTACATGTCTTTAATGTTATATTTTTCATTTCATAAAATATCTAGACTTGCTCGTAAGATCAAAAAAGCAAACAACAAATTATTGATGAAAACAATTTTCATTAAGAAACTATATTTTGATGTGAATCAGAATGCACAATAAATATTCATGAGAATTTATCCGATCAAATTATTTGTACTTTGTCACAGATTTTGTATCATCAACTTAATTACAGGGTGCGTCATATAACTGTCCCTTTTTTTCAATCGTTTGTTTTAATACTCAAATGTCTTGCGATTCACTCTGTCGTTTACCGTTATGTTTATTGGTGTTTACTCTAACTCTAATGATACTGCGCATTTATGTACAGTGTTTGTTTAGCTTGCAATAAGAATGGATGTGAAACGTCAACTGATACTAAATTTGCACAAACGGGGCTTGAGACAAATTGATATTCTTCAACAGCTACAAAATGAAAATATCAACTTGAAATTTGTAAAGCGCACAATAAAACGATACAAAGAACGGAGCAGCGTTGATATATTAAAGAAAACTAGACGAAAAAGATCTGTTCGTGCCAAAAATCTCATCAAACGTGTGACAGAGAAAATTCGCCGAGAACCTCGAAGAAGTGGACGAAAGTTGGCTCATGAGCACAAAATCAGTAAAACTTCAATGCGACGAGTTTTGGCAGAAGACCTGAATATGAATCCATTCAAAAAATGTCGACGACATGGTCTCACAATCAAAAATAAACAAGCCAGAAAGCAAACATGCAAAGAGTTGTTGCGCCGGCACGCAAACTCAAACATTGTTTTTTCAGATGAAAAGTTGTTCCTTTTACAGCCAAGCCTCAATTCACAAAATGATCGTGTGTACGCAACATCAATCCTTGATATTCCCGAAGATAGAAAAAACCATCGAACGATTTCAAAATGTTCCACAATTGATGGTTTGGGCCGCCATGTCGGCCGACCACAAATGTTCACTGGTTTTCGTCGAAGAAGGCGTAAAAATCAATGCCAGAGTATATATTCGAGAAATTTTGCGTAAAAACTTATTGCAACAGTCTCAAAGACTATTCAGAGGTGAACCATGGGTATTTCAACAAGATGGTGCACCCGCACATCATGCAAATACGACACAACAATGGCTACGCACGAATTTTCCTGATTTCATTGACAGAGACTCATGGCCGCCATCGTCTCCTGACTTGAACCCGCTCGATTTTTTCGCTTGGGGATACATGTCGTCGAAGCTAAATGATCTGAAAATTACGAAACGAACCACTTTGGATGCATTCAAAAAGAAAATAATAAAAATTTGGAACGAAATTCCCATGGATATGGTGCGTGCCGCGTGTCAATCGTTTTCGAAACGTTTGCGTTTGGTAATCCGAGGAAAGTTGGAAAGAATTAAAGTCAAAGGCTGAATCATAATCTCTATACCTCATTCTTATATCGAATAAAATTATATCTCGATTTGATTCAAATTTCTGTATTTTTTGGCTAGAAATAAAAGGGACAGTTATTATGGCGCACCCTGTAATTTAAACGAACTATCGAATATCTTGCTGTATATACGAAAAGTGTCCCAAATGAAATAGGAACATTGAAAAGAATGGTGGTTGAAAAATTCATTTGACTTGGAATTAATATATGTCAATAAAATTCAGGAATGTCTGTGCGGCTATAAGCTTTGTTATACACACCTTAAAAACTTCAATACCAATGCTTCCACCAAAGTAATACTGATCGAATTTCCAAGATGATCCAAGAAGCAATATTTCTAAAAAATGAGCCTCAGAAGATAATTGCAGCCCACTATTTCTCGACAGTATCAATATTTTTGAAATTAACTTTCTTTCCATCACGAATAACAAAATATTTACTTATTTTTCTCATTACAAATGAAAAATTATTTAAAATAATCAAATTCGGCTAAACTGGCTGAAATTTTGAATTGATATAAAAGATGGCGCAACATATACGCGTAGACATTGAAATCGAACAGATCAAGAGTTTGCTTGTATTGCGTTCAACATCGTTCAGTTGGCACTCGACTCTTGTGTGGATAACAACAAAATTTTCAGCAAAACCGTTGACTAGTACGTGATTGGTCACTTTGTGAACACTTCAACATTAACGGTACAATAATTTGTTCAAACATTTGTCGTCGATACGAAAAGAGAGTAAATAATTGGATTTAAAAAATGGATAGTCAAGAATATATCGACGATGATTCTGATCACGAAATAAGTGTATCGGAACAACCACAATTCAAATCAATAACATCCGAAGAAATTATAAAATTGATGAATCAGTCGATCTTAGGTGTTAATTCCGTCGTTGAAGTGAGTTTACTGTTGTGCCAAATGTATTTCAGTATGAAATTTTTTTGTTTCCCGGTAAAATTGTAATTATAAAAAAATGTTGGCTTTTGACATACAGATGCCGGCAACAACAGCACGTATTTTGTTGAGCCACACAAAATGGGATGTTCGTGAAGTATTGGATCGAATTACAGATGATAATTGTGATAAATTTTTCGAAAAAGCACACGTCCAGAATCCATTTGAATCACCGAAAATGAAACGAAAATCCAATACCGAACATACATGCACCATTTGTTTCATGGACTTTCAACAAAATGTGAGTATACAAAGTAACTGTTATCTATAAAAAGGAATCGGTAGAATACATAAAAAGCATTGTATAAATACATGTTGTTTCGTAACAATTTGGAGCACACCAAATATCAAACAACATTGACATTGAAACGTTCTATTGTATTCGTCATTTGTATTCGTTCCACTGGCTATAATATTATATAGATTATTAAATGTGCAAACGTGTAAGTCTTCGTGGTAAATGCGTTTCGTTGAAATTAAAACCAGTTTGTGTGTGACTATGACGTGATGCAAATTTTTGTTCATCTCCATTTTCCGTTTCTTGTCAAGGAAATCGTTGGTCTTAGCTGTGATCATGAATATTGCAAAGAATGTTGGTCTCATTATTTGACATCAAAAATCATGGATGATGGTCATTCGGAGTTCATTTGTTGTCCCGAATATAAATGTCAAATTGTTGTCGATGATGGTACGATTATGGAAGTATTGACCGATTCTCGTGTACTTCAAAAATACGAACACTTGATGACCAACAGTTTTGTCGAGGTAAATAACTGCATTAAAAATGCGATAAATGATTTTTTTTTTTAAATTACTTGCATATTGATAAAAAAAATCTTCGATTTATTTGAAATGACAGCATACGTATACTCTGCGTTGGTGTCCCAGTGCCCAATGTTCATTGGCGATTAAAGCTGAATGTTTATTGGACTATCGTCAAAATTGCGAGTGTAAATGCGGTAAACGTTTCTGTTTTAGTTGTGGTGAAGAGCCGCATGATCCGATACCATGTGACTTGATGAAATGTTGGTCCAAAAATGATAACGACGAAACAATTGAATACCTTATTAAACACACAAAAAGCTGCCCCAAATGTTTCGCACTGATCGAAAAAAATGGTGGATGCAATCATATGGTGGGATGCAATCTATAAAAAAAATGTGTTTTTGACGAAAGTAATCTACATTTTTTTTTTTTAACAATTTTCCCAGTCATGCCGTAAATGTAAATATGAGTTTTGTTGGTTGTGTTTTGGCCCTTGGAGTGGACATGCAGTTAATAATTGCAACAAATACAAAGATAGTAACAAAAATATTACCAATGATCAAAACCGGTAATTTAGCACATATAAATGATTTTTATTTGAAAAACATGCGATGAATGACGATTTTTATTTCAGTTGGGAACACTACTTCACACGCTACGGTGGACATAGAAAGTCATTGAAAATCGAAATGGATATGAAGGAACGGATCATATGTAGAATGGAACATTTACAAGACATGGGAAAATCATGGAATGATGTAAGAGAACACATTCAACAACAACAATAACCACATCAAAAAAATGCAATTCATTTTCTTGAAAGCAATTTCAGGTACAAAGTTTGATGAAAGCACTGGACATTCTGTTTGAGAGTCGACGACAATTGATGTTTACGTATATATTCGCATATTTCACGAAGCCACACAACCAGAAAAATATTTTTGAAGTTAACCAAGCTGATTTGGAATCGGCGACAGAAGCATTGTCCAATATTTTTGAAAGTGATTTGCACTTAACCACTGAACGATATTTATCAGATGTCCAGGACAAATCTTGGTAAATTTAATGCTAATAAAACAAACGATTAAGCGGAAAATTTGTAATAAATCTCGATATTTATTTGCAGCTATTGTGAGGCTCGTATGAAGACAATGCAATGCCACATTTACGAAGGTTTCGACAAAAATTGGTGGTCGTTTACATCAGGCTGAAGTTGGTCAATCATCATTCGCCGAATTTTTTCTTCTCAAATAATCATAATTTAAAAATAACAATTACTCAACAACAAAACTGTTAAGAATACTTCATTTATGAATCGTTGAGTTTCATTGTATTTGGTATCTGTCGATTGTCAAATGAAGTCAAATGTTGATTTCACAATTCATGAGTCAGACGAAAAATTCCCATAAATAAATGTTTTTGTTTTTGTAGTTTCTCTCGAGTGTTTTTTAAAAAGTAATTAAAAAGGCATTTACTTAAAAAGGCAAAAACTTAACCTTTGATAACAATTCACGGTGGCAACACTGTAAAAATGGCGAAGTACTTAGTCGATGTTATCTTCAGTTGACAACAATATTTTGACATTTCTTCTTTTGTTTTGCTACACAACAAGCAATTAGTGCGTATGTAAAACATAACACAAAATAAAATTCAAAGCAGTGTAAGACTCTCTGGCGAATAGTCATCAATATAGCATTCACTTTACCTGCATTTATATTATTGAAAAGAATAAAACGGCAACAGATAAAACTTAAGTAAAGTGTTGATCAATCGAAGCTACAGGGCTTATATTGCCAATTCTATTATCACATCGTAAACGTATTTTCATATTTTATAACAATTTCAAAGAGAAGCCAAATGGATAGCGACGCAGAATCTTACGACGAATATGATGGTGATTACGACGAACCAGAGGAATGGGATGATGTTGATGATAATGTCAACAAAAAACCATCATTTGAAACGCTAACAACTGACGACATCGTGCAACTTATGAACCAGTATATCGAGGAAGTCAATGCCATCGTACAGGTGTGTTTATACATAACAAGTTTTATTTTCAAAAACAAAAAATATATACATACATTTTGATGAAAAATATGCTATACCAAAACACCAGATACACGTACATATAAGTATAGTTAAATGTAATAAATCATAATAAAATTCATTATTTCACAGATGCCAGCAACAGCCACGCGAATTCTATTGAGCCATACGAAGTGGCAAAAGGAAGAACTACTTGTTAAGTTGACCGCTGACGATTCTGATGAATTCTTTAAAAAGGCACATGTTCTTAATCCATTTGCTGAGGATAATAGTCCAAAAGCGGTGTCCAACGTACACGAATGTAATATTTGTTTAACGGAATTGCCACAAGATGTAAGTGTTTTCGTACGGAAATTCTTTTTGCATGTATTTATTTATGTGGCTAAACAAAATCAGAGAATGCTCGCACAAAAGAAAATGAATGTGTTGGTATTAACATTCAAAAAAAAAAAATCTAAAATTCTACGAACATCTCTCTTTTAGGCAATTGTTGGTCTCACTTGTGGTCATAAATCGTGTAAAGATTGCTTTGGTCAATATTTGACGTATAAAGTGGTCGATGATGGTAAAGCTGATTCGATTTCATGTACTGACACAAAGTGCCGCATCGTCGTTGACGATTTGACAATCATCAAATTTCTAACCACGGACAAAGCAAAACAAATGTACCAGCATTTAATGGCAACTTCATTTGTTGAGGTAATTTCTCTCTTTACTGTCAATTTCACCCAAAAAACATAGAACTTATTCCCATTTTTTTATTCAATGCACAGTATAATCGTAATTTGAAATGGTGCCCATCGCCTGGTTGTACGTATGCAATTAAAGTCAATCAGATATTGACACATCAACAAAATTGTACCTGTAAATGTGGCCATAGCTTTTGCTTTAGTTGCGGTGATGCTTCGCATGATCCGATACCGTGCGCTTTAATGGACAACTGGAAAAGAAATTCAAACGATGATACAATCTTATATCTCACCAAACATACGAAAGAATGCCCGAAATGTTTTTGTGCCATCGAAAAGAATGGCGGCTGCAATCGCATGGTAATGCATAAAAATTATTTGAATTGATTGAAAGCAATTCCATATTAACACTAGTGTTTTGCTTGTGGTTATTTTTAGATCTGCCGAAAGTGTACCCATCCATTTTGCTGGCTATGTTACGGAACGATGACTACATATGACCATCAATGCAACCAATTTAAGGAAGTCAATGAAGATAGAAATCAGAAGAATCGGTAAGTTTTGTTGCCATTCATTTCGCCAGCAACAATTCAAATCGAGAATTAACGCATTTTTCTTATTGCAGATGGCAACATTATTTTCAGCGATACTCTACACACAAGGAATCGCTGAAATGTGAAGAAAGGCTATTGATTGGCGATAATACAATCGACCGCAAAATGAAAACTATGCAATTCATGGGAAAATCATGGAATGATGTAAGTGAGAATTTGTTTTGGTAAATTTCATGTTGAATTTTATAATATTTATATGGGGTTTATTTAATTTGCATTTAGGTTCAATTCTTGAAAAAATCCGTTGAAATTCTATGTGAAAGTCGTAAGCAGTTGATGTTTACCTATATTTTTGCATACTATATCGAAGACCACCATCAAAAAGTCATTTTTGAAGCGAATCAAAATGATTTGGAATCGGCCACCGAAGCTCTGTCACAGTATTTGGAACAAAACATCACGGAAAATAACATTGACACGATTATACAAGATGTTATGCACAAATCAAATTATTGCGAACGACGTCAAAAGACGATGCAAGAACATATTTACGAAGGCTTCGAAAAGGATTGGTGGTCATTCACAACAAATCTCTGGTCCCGACTCAAGAAAATGGGTTAACAAAATAGAAAATAGTACAAAGCTAGCACCAATTTTCCGATTGAAATTTTTCTATAGTATAATTCAAGATCAATATAACTACCTATTGATAGAAATATATAGATTCATAAATAATGTCCATTTAACGCATCTATTCACTCCATACACGATGTGTATGCTGAAAATAACAATTGGTTGAAATGATTTAAAAATTTTATATTGGCAAAATGGATTTTTGCTTTTTTTACTTTCAATTTATTTCACACAATGCGTAAAATAGGCGCCACTTCTGAATCTGTAGTTATTTATCTATTAACTTCCATTATATGCTTAAAATTAATCTTAAACCCGTGTGTCGGGTCAAATTGACCCGATGTATTTTCTTTTGCAAATTAAACATACAAAAAATAAAAAATATAATCAAATATCATTTTTTGTATGTATTGGACCTTTATCTTTGTGAACACAGTGAAAATATTACAAATATGTGTATGGGCGGCCGATATGTAAATGGCCGACCGGCCACTCTTTATTATTTACCAATGACACCATGACAATTTTGTATTTTATAAGCACAAACAGGCGTCAATTGATAGCTTATTTCAAGGCCTTTCCAACGATATCCAAATGCCGACTGTCCCGTGTTTTCTCTATGTGCCTTTGAAATGGCACGGACGCAGAAGTCTGCACCTTTGCGTATATGTATAAAGAATGAAAGAGATGTGAGAGTGTAGCTATGTATGTGTATGTGTGCGACATTAGTTGTACGTCTGAATACAAGTGAACAGTATCATCATTGAATACGCAAAGGTGCAGGCTACTGCGATTGTGCCATTTGAAAGGCACAACGAGAGAACACGGGGTAAGTCAAGTGGTTGAGCCTCTGTGGCCGTAGAAAAATTGACCAAAATGGCGGCAGGATCAAAAAGCCGTAGAACAAAAAATGTTTAGCTTATCTTGTTCTATAATCCCTGAAAGTTTGAAAAAAATCGGACTCAACTATGTTTTACACATATGTAAAAATACACATGTGATACATAAAAGTATGTACATATGTGATACTTGAACTATTAATGTATATTGATATACAAGTATCAGTATCATAGAAATAAAATTGATCATTCATGAAATAATCGTGCTAGTTCTTAAAAAAATTGCTGATTTCCATACAAAAGGCACTACGGGTCAATCTGACCCATACACACGGGATTAAGTTGTAAACAGAACACACGGGTCTAGGGTTAAAAACGTTTTTCTAATAATTAAATAAAAAAATAAAATAAAATGTTTAATTGTTATGTATCTTATTTTATTCAACTAAAAGAGTTTTTAAAAAATGACCTTAGCGAAAGAAGGTAACGAACGAAATTGAATACGAAGGCTGGAAAGTGAGCGAAGTCAAAATGTCCCACATTGAATGTGGCGAATTGAACGAATATATATATATGTGAGTATAAGTTTTGTGTGTGTATGCTATGTAGCGAAACTCATTTGTAAGAATGTCATGGCGAATAGTACTGCTGTATACAGACATACATAGAGTGAAATGTGCATAGGTCGCAGCAATTCACATTTCAATATGAAGTGAAAATAAAAACAAAATATTCGAAATATATTGGTTGTGAATTGTTGAAAAATCCATTCGAAATTCATATAATTAGACATTATATCGTCAACATGTATGTAGTGCTAAATTTGCAAACCAGCAATTCTGTGTCGGTTTAACTTTCATTTGATTTTATTGTGATTTTCTTTGTTTGCAAAATATTTCATTGTTTGTCAAGCTCATTTTCAAACTACGCATTGGTTCAGCACACTGGATTCAGCATTGTGACTAATGATTGTTTGGAAATTACTCTAGAAAATTCAATGTTTGCATTGTAATTTGCAATCGAACGTAGTGAAATACCATATTTGTGCGATAAATTGATTTTTGAAATAGAATTGTTAAGTCCATATTGAGTGTGTTATATACAAATAACGTTGATAATAGTATTTTGGTCAAAACAAAAATAAAGTCATTGATTGTAAAACAAAATCGTCGCTGATAAAATCAGAAAATATTGCTGAAAACAATTCAACAATAATGATCGCAATGGTCATAAAAGAGAGCGTGAGATAAAAAAAGAAGAAGAGAGATGCATGTTGACACTTTTTTTTATTGGCTTTTGAAGTGTTATTTGTGTTTATTTGTTTTTGCTTGTCTGTCGACTTGAAATTTCGATGGTGCGCTTGTGTAGCGTCTGCGCCGTTTTTCTCGTCCAACAAAATATGAACAAAAAGGATAAATAGCATTCAGAAACATCAACATTCAGTGTTTAAACAACAACAACATAATTTCGTTGATGTCGTTGTTAATAATGACGATGACAAAATATCCTATCTTTAGCATCTTTTGATTGCAAATATTAAAAGCATCGCATTACAATGCAAGCACGATCAAGGTGTTAATTTTTTATTGCCATTTTTTTTGTTGTTGCCGTTCATCAAACGAATAACACTAAATGCGATAAGTTGCATGACAAAACTGCGGACTATTTACAATAGCCTCTTAACACTCAACACAATTTATCAACAAAATATGCACGTATTTCCATTATCGTACAAGCTGCGAACTTGAAAGAATTCAAATTAAAGAGAGAAAAAAAAAATGTTGTGAGAATAACGTGCTGAAATCCATATAATTGAAATATATCCAATTTTCGATTTATGGCGCTGACATTGATTCGAATAATTACAGTAGTGAATTTGTTGTGTTGGTGTGTAACACATCGGCTACATAGTGCGCTAAATGAGAATAAATAAACAGGCTGAAGTCAAACAACAACAATAATAAGAAAAAGAAGAAGAAGAATGTGAGACAACCAAATTCACATACATTCACTAAACGAGAGTCGGAAGAATACAGCGAAACTAGTACATTAATGCCGAAAAAAGAGAATAGAAATACTTTTCATACACGGTTCATATTGTAGCTTTTCGTTTCGTTTCGTTTTCAATTTAGCTGGTTGCTGTGTTGTTTGTCTGCTGACATGTTTGAATGTGTGCTATTATGCATGCTTCACGCTCTCAGTATTCTCACAACGTCAAAGCATATCACACTCATAGAGAAAAATTAACGACCGACCGAAAAAAAAAAACGTGTAGAAAAGTAGAGATTATAGTTATTTGTGTGTTTCTCATCCGATGTGGACTAAATTCAACTTTCGAATTTCATTGATCTCAAGATTCTAATTTTCACTGTTTAACCCTTTTTTTATTCTAGATTTCCGTTATCAACATAATAATCGAGGGAACAAAAATATCTACGACTTTAAATTGAATTGTGAACGAAAAAAAAAATTCGAAAAAAAGTGAAACAAACAAGCATTTGAACTAAAAATAAATTCTCTCGAAAAGCGAATCAATTTGGATTGCTTTTTTCGGTTAAAAGTCAAATGAATCATACAGTAGAATGACATAATGCAGAGATTTCAAAATAGTATGTGTATGTGTGCAAAATTTCGTTCGAAAATTAATTGATAACTCTGTAAAAATTAATTGCTGTCGACTCGAATTTAATCCAAATTACCGATGTGTCAAGTAAAACAGCGTGCGCAAAAGAGCTTGAACAGTCAGTGAGTTTTTTTTTTTTTTTTTTCATTTTTGGTGCACGAAAATACAGAATTTCGACTGTCAAAATATGTTGACATTATTTGTGTTCAGCAATTTTATATGGCGTAAATAAAATTTTGGACTTTTTTTTAGACATTCTTGTTGTTTTGCAAACGTTTAAATTCACTGTTGTGTTCATTTAATTGTGTCGTTTTTTCCGTTTCCATCGAAAATTTAAATGAGAACAAAAGACCAATTCTGATTAATGGTCAATGAGAAGTGACATCGTGCAAGGGACAAAAACAAGCATCGTGCATACAATAAAGTACATTAAGGTCAAAGAAAAAAAAAGTGTTGGCCACATTCTGAATAGGCAAGTCACATAGAGAACTATTAAAGCGGCCAACAATGGATTCCGACGACGATACATTTGATAACGTTGATTCGGGAAATGTATCTAGTGGCGATGATGATTTTCCAATCGTTGACGAGGTTGAAATGGGCAACTCAAGAGATCGACAGAGTGAACACGATGAGTATCCATATGAAGGGCTGACAACAGAAGAAATTGTTCAACATATGGTGGATTGCATCAAAGAAGTTAATACCGTTGTTGAGGTAAGCATATACAAATAATCAAGGTTTTCAATAACATCATACGTTTCAATTCCGAGAATGGTGAAATTCAGAATCACTGAATATTTTTTTTTGTTTCGGTCAGAAAGGTCAGCCAAAGCTAAACTCAGCATAGCAATAATGGTGATAATTTTTTGATATGCGAAATAGTTGGCATTATGATTCATGAGTTCGGCCAAAGAATTCGTCGAAATGTCTCTACATGCACTGATACAGACACTTGTAAAATGTGCTCAATTTCGAACGTTTTCATAACAAAACTAATGACAACATCGCAAGAGAAAGAGAGAGAGAGAGAGAGAGAACTGCAATAATGAAAACATTGAATTAATATATCGATCGACATAAATTCTTCCTTGTGCTCAATGTTCACATACTTCTCTTGTAATTCGTGTATTCTTATGTAGTATAATCCATTTGGTTGGTGCTTCATCGGGTGCTTGTAGTGATGTTGTGCACTTGATGCGAATATAGACTATGATTTCAATTTTGTATACAATTGAATGCGCGACGATAAGCGCATACACAGACAGACGCACGCAAATAACGCAATGACAGCACAATATGTGTGCTATGTGTGTAAATTGGCATACGGCATTGGCATGAATGAGACAAAGAGCGCGACCGAGCGAAAAAGAGAGTGAGGGAGAGAGAACGAGCGCGCACAACATAATACACCATTTACGGAAATTGGGTCGACACACTAAAACATCATGGAGCATTGAGAGCACATAAATTCATGGAGCATATGCTTTTTCCAATTGATTCTTCCACTGGCTCTCTTATTTCACACATTTCATTTTCTTTGTATGTTGTGTGAGCGCGTATTCGTGCTACAAGGTTGTTATTGTTTTTCTGTTGTTGTTGCTGCTGTTGTTTTCTGTTTCGATTGTTTTGAGGTTACTCGTACTCACTGAACAAGATGTTGCTTCCTTTTTTCCATGATTCTCATCAATCTCCATCTCTTCCGACATCGACTAATTGAAAAGTAGCACGCTGATGGCTTTTGACATTTATCACCTATAAATTATATTTAAAATATGAATATAAATCATGTTTGTTTTAATTTTGTTTCGATACAGATACCCGCCACCACGTTACGCATTCTTTTGAATCATTTCAAATGGGACAAAGAAAAACTCATGGAAAAATATTATGATGGTGACCAGGAGGCGTTCTTTCGAGAGGCGCACGTTATAAATCCCTTCAATAAGCCAGTGGCGGTGACAAGACCAAAACTAAAACGTTCCGGCACAGAAGAATGTGAAATTTGCTTCTCAAATTTTCCACCAAGTGTATGTATTTTATTGATTTCAAAAAGAAAAATGCACAAGCAGAGAATTATTTAATCATATGAATCATATATCATAATAGATGATGACAGGATTGGAATGCGGACACAAATTTTGCACACATTGTTGGGGTGAATATCTAACGACGAAAATCATGGAAGAGGGTCTGGGTCAATCAATATCATGTGCAGCACATGGTTGTGATATTATTGTTGATGACGTCACAGTTATGAAACTGGTGCCCGATTCGCGTGTTAGGCTCAAATATCAGCATTTGATTACAAACAGTTTTGTCGAGGTGAGTTTTGTTAAAAATTTACGCGTCATTGAATCATTAAAACAGAATAGTCATTTGTTGTTTTTTTTTTTGCTGTTGTATGTTTTAGTGTAATCGATTGCTTCGCTGGTGTCCGTCAGCAGATTGCTCGTATGCGGTAAAGGTGGCTTATGTTGAATCACGACCGGTTGCTTGTAAATGTGGCCACATCTTTTGCTTTGAATGCGGTGAAAATTGGCATGATCCCGTTTTATGCAAGTACCTCAAGAAATGGATTAAAAAATGTGACGACGATTCGGAAACATCGAACTGGATTGCGGCCAATACAAAAGAATGTCCAAAATGTAATGTAACTATTGAAAAAGACGGCGGATGCAATCACATGGTAATTATTGTCTTTAAATCTGCATTTAAATTATGTCGGCCGAAAAATTTCATCACTCTATACATTTATTCTGGTTTTAGGTGTGCAAAAATCAAAATTGTAAACACGATTTTTGTTGGGTATGTTTGGGATCATGGGAACCACACGGTTCATCTTGGTATAATTGCAACAGATATGATGAAGATGAGGCCAAAGCTGCACGTGACGCTCAGGAAAAATTACGGTCATCATTGGCCAGGTATTTAAATATAAATTTCGGACATTCTTTTATTTAGAGAGGGATCAAGTTTTGAAAGCAAAGACTGTTTATCAGAGCATTATATATGAGATGGATCTGGAGAAGCACTGAGGTGCTGTGCTTCTCTTCTGTGAGGAGCAAAATATTAAAAGTTAAAACAATTATTCAATTTGATGTTAGAGGAGGAGCTCTGTTCCTCAACGGTCCTCCTGCTTCTTAAAGCCTCTGTTTGAAAGAAATATGTTTTGATTACTTTTAACATTAATCCATTTAATTTGTGTTCTTGTAGATATCTTCATTACTACAATCGTTATATGAATCACATGCAATCGCTAAAATTCGAGCATAAATTGTACAATTGCATCAAGGAAAAAATGGAAGAAATGCAACAGCACAATATGTCTTGGATTGAGGTACGGATTTGATATTTCAATGTGTTTGTCTTTTTTTGGTGTGTGTTTGCTTAAAATAGGCTCATCATGTGTTTTATTTTCGATTTGCAGGTTCAATTTTTAAAACGTGCCGTCGATATTTTGGTTCAATGTCGACAAACTCTAATGTGTACATATGTTTTTGCGTACTATTTACGCAAGAATAATCAATCGCTCATTTTTGAAGCGAATCAAAAAGATTTGGAAACGGCCACGGAAAAATTATCGGAATACTTGGAACGTGATATAACATCGGAAAATTTGGCCGATATCAAACAAAAAGTCCAAGACAAATACCGGTTAGTGACGGCAGTACATTTAAATCTGCATTTACATCATTTATTGCGTATTTTATGAATATTACACACATTTATCATTTATTTTTGTTGTTGAAAAATTAAATGACGTACGATTTTCGTTTTCTTTTTTTAATTTCAATTGTAGATATTGTGAGAAGCGTCGAAAGGTGTTGCTCGATCATGTGCACGAAGGATATGAAAATGACTGGTGGATTTACACTGAATGATTTCAAATCGGAAACCGAAACCGTGAATTGAATTGTTTTTTCTCAGTGTCTCTTTCCTATTCTGATATGAATTATTCCCCTACAATTTTTCTCTCATTTGTTTCGTATACACAAAGTGTTATTTTCTCATCAAAAAATAAATATATTTTAGTAGAGTGAATTCATAAAAAAAAAGATTTAAAATACATAACGTTTAGTCGAAACCTTGAAAGTATATAAATAATTCTATTATCCCGTGTAAATGAAAAATTAAAATCATGCATAGACATTAGAGGTAGTATACATAATTCAACAAAATTTACAAAACAACAAAGCAATGAAATATTTTTTCAAAATATTTTCCCGAATCCAAACTCTCAGAGAGCAATCGAAAAGAGAACAGACGAAAAACTTCTGTGAGATTAGTTCGCTCATCACAAAAATTGTAAATAATTGCAAATTGAAACGTATATGAATAGAAATACAAAACGAAATTAATAAAAAAGGAATATTTGAACTAAAAACAGTGTAAATAAACAAAAGTTTCCTTTCTATTAGACTTCCTTTGTTTGTCCACTTTTTTGAACATTTCCGAGGCAATTCTTTTATGTTTGTAGAAAGATTTTAAATTTAGCCAATAAAACAAATTCGATTCGTATATGTAATATATTTTGTGAAAACAAGCACCAACAGTTTTGCATTTCTATACAAGATCAGCGGATCTAAAAAAAAGCATACAAATAATTGATCGCAAGAAAAGTCGAATGAATTTTACCAAAATGGACTTTGTTCCAAAGAAAATCTGTAAAAAGAATTATTCTTTACGCAAAAGCAAATATTAAACGATTGACAAAGAGAAAATGACACAAGACATCTTATAGGTTTGATCCATTTAAAAATAAACCACCAGAGTGAAATTAAGAAAACAATAACAAAAAAACATGCTATTTATGAATTGAGTTCAGTGTTTCATCAGTTACATAAAGTCCTCTTACTTTTTATTATATTTTTAATGTTGCAACTAAATTAAATTATATGAGGAATTTCAATAGGAAAATTTAAAGAAAACTATTAGATCCAGACACTCCCGAAAATCATGAAAGCAAATGACAGAAAAAAATAAAGAAATTTGCAATTTATAATCCAGTGACTTTTAATTCAAGGTTTTGCTTTGTTTCTCTTTTCTCCTTTTCGCAATGCAACGAAAATACACGGTTATTCAAGTGTACACGACTTGATAAAAAGGTGATTGATATTTACGTGAATCCTCGACACAGACGCATGAAATCACATGACACAAGCAAGTTTTTTTACCACAAATAACGTACGAAATGTTTATATTTATGCCGATGGATCATGAAGGGGGAAAACCAAATGTACAGTTTTTTTTGTGTCTGTTCTAAGCAAATGTAGTTAACACAATTATAATTTTGCTGCTAATTTTCTAGCGTATCTTTGACAATAGCGCATTTAACCGTTTATTTATTCGATCACTTAGCAAACCATTTATATTTTTCTCAGATCAAAACATTTTTTTCTTGTTTTTATTTTCTTGGCTTTTTCAGGAAGGACGAGATCAAACGCAAAAATGTAAACAAACAACCATTGATGATTCATATAATGTTATAGTATAATGAACAAGATCGAGTTCTTTGTTCTGTTTTTTTAGCAGATCCTTCGTGTTTCCATAAACATATATCGAATAATAAGTGAATGTAGGGTTTATGAACGGTTCTGTTTTCGATGTATCCAAATGGAAAATATATGATAGTATGAATGACCTTCAAAACCGTCTGGCGTTAGCGAATAACCAGTTTGGTGTGCGTTAAAATTAAAATTTGATGTGAAAGACAAAGACGCCGGCTGCTTTCTGTCTGATGAACACGATACGTTCAATTCATTTTTTAATCAGAAATTCGATCGTCAAACTGTTGCAATCTTCTTCTTCTTCATTTTTTCTTCAGACATGTGCGATGTGTGTTGAAATGAGCAAAAGAGAGACTAATTGAATTTTAATATATATATATCTTTTTTGTTCTTAATGGAAAATAAACCAAAAACGAACAACAAAGAGGCGGGTATTACAAATAAATTTGCACTCCAGATTTTTTGCACATCAGCTGAAATGACACATATATTACAGTTGTGATTGTGTGTTGCGCATGCAGTCGATAAAACATTTTCTTTCCAAACAGTTGAGCCTGTGTATTTACAGCAATCGCACCTATTCGCACCGAAATATTTATACGATCATGTGCTCATTTTAAGTGGAAATTTGTGCAATAAAAGAAGAAAACTTTCAGCGACGCAGTTCTATAAAATTCACACAGCTGTAATAAAATACGTATTAAATATATAATTTGTTAAAAGAATCATCGACGAAAAAAAATCTGGTGCAACAGTTCGCTAAACAGCGCTTAATCGAAAACAATATCGGTTCAGTGATTTTGTTGAACTTAAAAAAAAACAATACAGATTCGCACAAAGTCGCAAAATATTAGTGCAATTTTCGAGGTAATAACATTTTTTCAGAGGTTCAAACACAGTTCAAAATTGATTCAGAGAATAATTGTTTGAGTTAAACTGATTTAATGGAAATTATTCTTTGAATCAAAATTGATCAGGTAAACTTGCGGTAAATTCGGTCTTAAAAAATGAAAAAAAAAAGATGTTGTCACCCTGTTTGTAAGAAGGTATACTTGACTATCAGTAGCTGGTTCGTGAAATCATTGATAACTTCGATTTCGATGGATGTTTATAACTGCGCTTTCAATCGAAAACCACAAAATGCTTGTAATGTAACAAAATACACGTTATTGAATACAATGGTTGATATCAAAACTAGAAAAATATTTGTCACTCATCCTATACGATATTTCTTCTGAAACAAAACCGCAGTGAAAAAAAGGTGGCCGACTGGCTAATTCGATTTTGTATGCGAAGCAATTAAATTCAATTATTTTGGTCGACCGACCGACCTTATTTTTGAGAAACAAAGTAAAGCATATTTAGTCATTTAAAGGTTTAAAATGATTCAGTCATTTGACACTTGCATAGAGAATGTCTGTGGTTTGGTTTGAATTTGGTTTGCTGCCTGGAAGTGAAAAGCGTGTAAATATCATATGATTTGTAAGTCTTAAGCAGAGCCATACAGGTTTTTTTTTTCAACCATATTGTCGGATGACAATCTATTACGGAACCGAGAGTTTGAATCTCTTTGTAAGAAAATCTACAATGTACACTCATGCATTAATAAATAAGGCTTAAATTTGATTGGCGTATCCTGTAATGTCACAAACAAATACTCACACACACACACAATTTTCGTGGCAATAAACAACAAGGTTATTTTTCGTAGCCACATATGATCACGATATAAAACATTGCACACAACACACGCGTTTATTTTATTTGCTTTTGTACGTAAAAAAACATACACCATATATTTTTTGCATGCAAAAAAAACACACATTTCTAAGCTCAAGCCATTCCAACAACAACGAAAAGATCTGAGAGAATGATGAAAATTTACACGCTATAGATAGATTAATTTCAATTTATCAATTCGAAACCATGGTCCGAAAACTGGTTCTTTCATCCAAATCAACAACAATGTTTCTCTTCCACACACCTCTCACTCTGCATTCCATTGGATTATGCAGTGGTTTATTTGCATGATAGACTGTTCTGAAATTTAAAGTAAGTAACCAATTTATAAAGTGGATTTTTTTTTCTCGTTTAAAAGTGTTCCAATTGAACCAACATGAGAAAATAGGAAAGAATGATAAAACAGTTGTCAAACTTTAATGCCAACCACGAAACGAAATAGTCTTCATCAAATTCGATCAGATTTTGAATGCTTTATTCTATTATTCCATTTTAAAATCCAAATAAGATTCTTAATTGTTTATTCTGCGTGTATACGCCTCTTGTGAATGTGACAATTTATTTATTCGGAACACTGGACAAGTTCAGTTCAGTACTATACAATTGATCCATTGTTGCATTGAAATAAAGTATTGCGTGTGGCTCTAATCTTCCGAATTCGTATTTTGAATAGTATTCAAACAAACAAATCTAAAAATCGTTTTATGCTTCAATTGATCGAGTAACACAATTGCTTGAATCTGCATTTGCTTTATCATTGTTTATTTCATCACAGTCCGCAATGAGTACAGGATATAGATGAGATAAAACTCACTCGATTTGGGCAGTTAAAACGAGAAATCGATTTGCAATCGAACATCAAAGTTTATCATTGAATTCAGAATTATTTTGGCATTCAATGGAACGAATGCTCTCTATGATACGAATTGAACGGTATCGCGACCCTGTAAACGAGACTTGAGTTTGCGTGCACTTATTTATCTCAACATCATCACTTTCCTATGCAGTTTGTGTCAAGTGCGCATTTGATGCAATGATTTATTATCCATTAATACTCTGTCGCTTGATAACGTATCAAAACATTTGAATTTAAAGTATCTGAAACGGTTGTTTTGTTAATTTATATTTGTGTAGAAAACTAATTGTTTGCCAAATGGCAAGCACACGTCATGTAGATTGTTGTATATGTTATCATCAGTAGTGAGCGGGGGGAGGGAGTTTACCCCCTGAGGGCTGGTAAAGTCTTTCGATTTCCCTGGAAAAGTGAAGACATTTTTAGCTCTTCACTTTCACCGAGACAATTCTTTAGAATTACCCCCTAGGTTATCACATTGAGGTATAATTTGCATAATATACCTCGCTCCATTTGAAACGTGTTGATAAGAATGCATAAATATTGCAATAATACTTCCGTACTTCACATTTTTGCAGAAATCGTAAAAAAAGAACTCAATTCGACATCGATACGGCATTGAGTGCGCAAAGGAATGATGTTTGTTCAAAAACCAGAAATAATTGGTTTTAAAACAAACAAATCAAACTGTAACACAAACAATCGACACACTCTCAAAGGCTCGGTTATTTTATTTAGAATAAATTGTCCATTGAAAAAACGCATCAAAAATATACTGCCATGCGATGTGTATCATTCACGTGTTTATCACAGATGTATGTCAACAATCTTTTGTTGTTCGCATGAAATTCGAAAGCATAATTGCGTATCGTCCAACAGAATGAAAATGATAATAATAATTAATGTCGTCCAACTTCCGATGTAACAATCAAACTGACCGAACATGCGTAAATTCTTATTTTATTGTAACAATTTCAACATTTCGCTTGTTGTTTGTTAACTATCTAAATTCGAGAATTTCGAAACACACCGATGTGTTTGTGTTCTTCGTCAATTCAACGGAAAAAACGAATTTAAAAATGGATTGTCATTTTTCAATCGTAATAAAGCAAATTCATGCGCTTTGTGAGTGTGTCGCCGAATTATTTATTTGGATTTCAAAATATTGACTCAAAGAAAATTACCATAGAAATGACAAACTTCGCAACTTTATCGCTAAACTATGGCTCGTTTTCTTTTATCTTGAAATAGCACTCATTTAAATATTGCCAAGCTGTGGAAGAGCAATAGTGGCTTCAAATGGTGAATTTTGATCATAAAAAAACATCATTAAAGCACATTTATGCCGTTAATTGAGACGGAAATTTGAAATAATTCAAGTATCATAAAATACTTGGTTTACAACCACCGATTGTTAAAGTAAGGCTGCGTACTTTGCAACGGTTCAATTTTTCAAAATAAGTACATGTATATACAACAATGTGCAAAAGTTTTCCAGAAATGTACATGGCTTGGTACATGGGGATTGTTTTTAATAAATGAGTTAGATTTTATTTACTTCACTGCTCAGAAGTTCTTTTTTTTAATTTTTGTATTTGAAAACGTCTTGAAAGAGTCCTTTTTTGTGAAAACCAATCTTCTGGAAAAAAACTTTTGTACACATCGTGTACACTGTTTTACAGCCATTCAATTTGAAAAATTCAACCATGGCAGAATTACGAGTATACAGCCAATATATAACACATGACTTCCTCACAATTGACTTTGCCTCAATTGAATTTGGTCGTAATGAATGAAATTTGAAAATAAATGGTCACCTATAAATAGACGTTTATTGTATAGGTTTTCCGCAACAATATCCAATTTAAGGAATTAGCTCAATATAAGATATCCAACTCTTAGCACACATTGTTGCCATTTGCTTTTAAAAAATGGAATAATTGACACTGTTCTGTTGACCTTCTGCCTCTTTTTGAACTCATATTATCTAGACAAATTTGCACGTTCCTATTATCATTCACATATATTTGACGCAATGTTTTTTTATCAATCAATCAATGAGTGGTTGAATTTTTTTGAAAATGAACTTTTTTTTAAAGTGCAATAAAAGCCATGGTTTGCAAATGCACCTGTCATTTATAATTTAATGAGTACGAGTGACAAAAAAAAAACGTTTTCCAATTGAGTAATCAATTTAAGTGCGACTTCAATGAAATGATAATGCACATTTTCAGAATTTTAGTTCATGGAACTTTTCAGTGATAAAAACGTGTCTACATGATTCATCTTGTGATAATTATTCACATGGTTTAACACGTTTTACAATTTAAAAAATACGAAAAAATATAGTGGTGTATTGATCCTGTTTCATGTGATATAATTCACAGACAATTCAATTTCCCAAAATTAATTTAATTTGCATTCATAGTTTGGTGAAGAAAAAATATCCTTCATTTATGGACGTCAATTGAGTAATTTTCGAGAATAATGTTGGCTATATCTTGATCCATCCATGTATTTTGACTGCGGGCCATTTATTATGTTAGTGTCCGACGAGCAAAAGCCGAATAATTCACGTGGCATGAACGAAGAATGGTTGATGTCCATTGATTAGCATACATATATGGAAATAAATCATAAATTCGTTTCAATTAAGTCAGAGGGGCGATGATTTGACAGTGGCAATAAATATATTAATCAAATAAGAAATAAACAAACACTTGTCTTCATCGTGTAAATAAATGATAAACGTTCAAACGGACGGATAAATGAGTGCGGTGGCAGGCAGGCAATCAAAAGATTCAGGCGTTATTCGTTTTGTTTCTTTTGCTTTTTGCCTGTGCAACGATACGTTGTGGCATTTATTATTGTGTGGCTCTTTGTGTCGCATTGTTGCCGATTTTTATACAATACACAAATGTTTGGTACACCGAAATTGGCTGCGTATTTGATTTGAAAATATGTGCCATGTTCAACGTCATGCTCGTGTATTGTATGCATCTCAAACCATTGAATGTACATCAAGTAAATCGGATCGAGTACAATTGTACAATATTCAAATTTTATTAATTTACTACACAAAGCGTTAAAGAGAGGGGATCGAAAAAAAGAATGATAAATGGAAAAAAGTAGCGTAGACAATAGAAAATGTTGGCATGGTCATAGTATGACTACATGCGAAATTCATTTGGCCGAAGAGCAAGGAGAATAAGGCACTCATAAAGTGCTTGCGATTTTCTAATGACAATTGAATGAATGGAATTAATCAAATCAAACGATAAATTCAAGCATATAGAGAGAGGGAGAGAGAGAGATCAACATAATGTGAAATATAATTCAAGTGATGACACTATTAGTCGCAGTCGCACTTGATTTCTTCTCCTTTTCGCTCAACATTACAAAACACTGTCCGCTCTTTATATTTGCGTGTTCAAATTGTGCAGAATTATTAAAACTTAAGAATCGCTTTCCGGATGTATGGCTTAATTTTCAATGTATACAAAGCAAGCACAAGTGTTTACCAACGAATGACGTCAATCTGCCGAACGAAACTAAACAAAGTGGAAGCAAATTGATTAATCCACTTTTATAAAATAAATTCGACAAATTCTCCAACATGTTCTATATCATTCGAAATTGTTCTTGTCTTCGAAAGAAAGAAAGAAAGAAAGAAGAAGAAGAAGAAGAAGATACGAACGAATGTGGTAAAATGGAGACGAAAAACGTGTCAAAAGGACTAATTAGAACACTCACCTATCGGCGGCACACAATACACAATCAGTGATTTCGATCAGTGATTGAATGATGGTGCCGATGATAAATGGCAAATATTTAGAAATTAATCGTTAACTACACATAAGAAACAACACGTACCGACTGGTAAAATACATTTGCGGCTCTTCAGCGATCGTTACTACCAATCGTATCTCTTGGAAATTCGAGTGTATTGATTCTTTGGCCAGAAAAACACCGATAACCGTTCAATAGCCCAAGACAGATAAAAAAACATTGCATGAGAAATATTGAAATAAAATTGATAACGCAAGAAAAGTGACGAGACCTTGCATGGCTTTGGCTTTTACAGTCACATAATCTATGATATTTGCATAAAATTCAACGATGATTTATCATCGTTTACAGCGTGCGACAAACAACATTTCAACTGATATATCCATAACATTCATTGAGAAATAGTAAATTTATTATCGATCATATCGATCAATCGAGCCTCTGTATTTCTATAAGAAACCACAGCCAAAATATATTTATATAATTTGGCAACTATGCGGTTTAACGTCTCCAGTCTTCTTCTTCTTTTTTGTGATCGTTGTGCATGTTTTTTTCTGACTCTTTCACCGAAAATTGTGTCGGTCAGTGTATCGAATCAATAGCGTACATAAAATCAACTATGTAAATGTCTAAATTACCGATATTTTATTCATTTATTCCCGTTGATCGAGCGATAATACCGATTCTGAGTTCGTAGTGGTTGCCGTCGATATAAATTTTGTTGTGTTTGCCGTTTTATTTTCTCTTTACTCATTTTTTATGGCTATTCAGTGCTAATTTCACATCAATCAAGCTTCAGATTTAGTGTGTGTATTGATGATTGTGAATGAAACAGTGGAGTCGATATCATTCGATGTTATCGTTTTTTTTGCGAATACAATGGATTTTCATGATCTGCGCGTTTGGTTTTAAGTTTATCGTTATCGGTGGCAATACACACGCACACATATAGACACAAAAACAGTGAAAGAGTATATGTGAGCTAGCCATATAGATATACACAGCGTAGCAGAGCAATAGTTGTACACAGTCAAACGCATTATATCAACACAGTGTACAAAGGAGCGAAATTTCCACAAGAAAATTGAATACATTCAAACGAGCACATTAAATCCATAGCGCAACATTTGAGAGAATCAGCCACTGTTGTCGCACCGAATCGGTCAGTAACGAAACAAACGGCCACTTGATAGGTTGTCAATTGTCTGCACTAATTCATCAACGAGTGTATTTCTTTTTATCTTTCATTCTATAGTTTTTTTTTTGTGTTTTTCGCAATCACGAAAAAAAATCATTCAGTTTAGTGTTGCAGTTAATTTCTTAAGTTTGTGCCTTCGTATTGTGTATTTTTCCTTTCGCATCCATGTGTGCATTTTGAAGCGTTTTTAGATTACGACTTTACACGTACATAAAAAAAGCTTTCTTCATCGCCTGTGATAATTGAGAAATCACGATAACACCGTTTCAAGTAACCGTTGTTCGAAGTTCACCACATCCAAAATTTCAATTGTGATTTTACTGTATGAAAACATCAATATTTGATGATGATCGACATTTTACAGCCGATTTGTGAATAATGTTTGCAACAACAACCAAATAGCAGAAGAAAAAATTCGTCTTAGAATCAGTTTATTTTTTAAATCACAAACAATAAGTCACTGTTCATGTGCTCACCATCTGCATTGCAGCAAGTTCATGCTGGAATTTAATTGAACTGCATTTTGCAAGTGATTTCAAAATTGTAAGTGTGAAATCGGACTTTTTCCGTTGATAAACATTTTTCGGCAGAGATTTTGTGTGACATTTAAACATTTTTTTGTCTCGTTCTTTTTTTTCGAATTTTGTTGACTTTTTTTTTTTTTTTTTTGAAAATGTGATTGAAATTGATATTTTTTGCGATAACTATATAAGAGGTGTAGATAAACGAGGGTAAAGGTAGTATTGGCAAAAATTGATTTCGGCGCGACGAACCCGATACTCAAGACTTGACGACATTTTATGTGAGAATGTGAAATTATTTATAGCTTTTAAAAAGATAGCAAAAAGATGAAGCGTCTACTTTCTGGCATGTACGGCTTCTTTCGTTTTGTTTATCAGAAATTTACAATGATAAGTTCATCGTTAACACTAATCAAGATGGATTTTATCAATTCCACTTATTTCGTTTAATTAAACACGAATCTGATTTTAGAGACAAATTATAAGTGGGATAACAACTGAAACAAAAGCCCAAATCAAATTTATAAATTTTACAACAAAAAAAAAATGGCAAACATAATTGCGTTAGATAAAACACGAGAGAAAACAAAAATATGCCAAAAAATTAAATTACTTAATCGCTTTGTTATATTTAGCTGCCATAAAAAAATCGAGCCAAAATGTCTAGAAAAATCAACGAAAACAATACATTCTTCTTACAATGAAAATAAAAAGATTTTGCGAAAAAAATGCAAAATATTATTGAATTATAATGTTAATTAGTAGTAAGAGAGACCTTTCCCTCGTTTACAAAATGAATCAAAAGCATATGCAAACTGTTGAGAGCAGCGATCACAAGTTCACAAATGCTAGGTCGATTGCGCGGGAAATAGACACCTATAAAACAATTAGCAATATATAAACGTGCTATATAAATGTGTCTATTTGTTTCGTTTTTGTTGTTGTTATGTTTTGTTTTCTTCTTTTTTTCACATTCAATCTCACTCCCCGCCCATTTCAGATCAGTTTTCATGATGTATCCTCTCATCTCATCTCATCTCATCTCTATTTTCTATTTGTTTTACTTTAAATCTGTTCGCGTTTCATAAATCAGCATTTATGGCATATCTATCTAAGCTCAATATACTACATTATCATAATGGAGTTGTTGTTCAAATAGCAAATGAAAACATGCTAAAATCATATTATTTATTTTTTTAAACACTATTTTAGATGAGGTAACAATATCGTTCTATTACAATTTATATCGTTTTTCAACGTCATCAAATTCAATTTGTGCGATGAAACATTTTTGGTTTTGTTTTTGAATGAGTAACAAGAAGAAGAAGAAACAAAGCATGTATAACAGTTAAATGGAGAAAGGTTAAATGGCATTTATTTAACGAGCTGTTTATCTTGTTTGTAACCTTTGAAACCAGTTCGACTCAACTTCGACGAAAAATCAGCATTAACCTTATTCGTCGAAATACATAAGTATTGAAATCTATCGCCATTTTTCTATTCCCAAATAAGATTTGTAATACAACTCATGAGCCAGACAAATGATACATAGATTTCCATTATTCACAGCTGCAGTTAAGGTTTTTTTAAAATCTCAATAAAATTTGCAATTTGCACATGTAAATCTTCATAAAATTCGAGCACGGAGACAACACTCAATTATATTATTATTAAATACATGTATCGTTGCCAACAAAAGTGATTACATTTAAATTATCGAAAACAGTAAAACAGATAACCACATGTGTGACAATGACAAAGGACCGTTAAATTCTGAGTCGATTTGTTTTTATCTCGTTGAATTGCCCAATGTGACAAAGCTCAATTCAAATAATCAGATTAGTCTTGTCTTGACTTCGGTGTTTACCTTTCTATTCGTCTTGGGTGCTTGATCACGAACCGATTACAAATCTCTACTATTGTCACCAAACAACGGCGATAAAAAAAAAGTGTCTCGCTTATCTCAATTACAATTCATTTTTATTTATTACGGGTGCAAATGCCAAACCAAATTAAATTGCAGCTTTAAAAAAATTCTCTATTCATGAAGTAGATTTCGTTTTCTTTTATCGCAATGCTAAAAGTTGTCGTTCAATATAGTTTCATTATACATTGTGGTCGACTAATTTACTTTGTGGTAGCTAATTGTCGTTTATGATTATTTATTTGCTTACCTTTTTTTATCCATAAATTGAAATTTATGTACGAAAAATATTGTTGTGATATGCACTTCATAAAATGCAATCAAATTATAGTAATAGCGCACGATTGAAAGTGATTCATAACAGAATGCAAGACCGAAATGCCTTGAAAATGTCGATTTCAAACCAATAAATTGAACACAGTGAAAACATCGAACTGAGAAGAAAAAAAACGTTTTTTTTTTTTTTTTTGTTTAACGGCATTTCCATTATGTAAACAATAAAATAATAGCCGAACAATATCAAATTAATTAAATACCATAATGAGGTGCATTTATGTTAGTTTTATATTTTGCTTATACCTTCGTTCGCTTGGAGGCAGTAGCACTTTGTAATCTAAAATATCTCATGAATTTTCCTATTTTACAAGCGAACTGATTGCGATTAACAACTAACGTTTTCTCTCACACACATTGAAGGCTAAAAACCTCGATCGACAATTTGTTTTTCCTGTTTGTCGTCGTACCAAAATGAATCCACTGCCAGCTAATTGAATAAACGTCCTGTTAATAAATAATAAAATCAAACTTAATACGCTAAAAACGTTTTGAAGCCATTCAATAAGCAGTAAATCAGTCGTCGTCTTTGTCGTTCAAATTAGCCCAAACGAAACACAAGCACGTTACTTTTGTCGCGGCGTATTTTTCTTGTCCAAAAAAAAAAAAAGATTCTCAACCAACGAGAATTTTGGACTCGATTCTAATGAAATAAAAAAAAAAACGACTGACTGTTTTGCATATTTCAATTAGAGCAACAATTTTTTCATTTAATAGTTTTTTTTTCTTCAAAATGAGTTTTCGATGATCAAGGAAAATATTTGCAATTTACAGTGTAGCAGTGTGTGTTTGAGGAAGAAATGGAATGGGATTTGACTTTGAGAAAAAGCAAAATTGATTGCATCAAGTTTATGGGAACACATTTTTTTTGAAAAGTCATTGGAACGATTCAATGAAAATGAAACGAAAGAATTTGATTTTCGAGAAGTATACACATCTCCAGGAAAATAATCTTCGCTGATCACTGATCAAGGACTTGATTCACTAGAACTATGCAGCTACGATCTTATTTCATCCAATGAAGTGCAATCGTCCGATGATGTATTTCACTTAATCATAGCATTTTAAATTTTTATTTGAAAAAAAAAAAAACAAATTTTATTGAATAATTTCGTGATAAGTTTAGCGAACAAGTTTTTTTTATTGTTTTGTTTTGATTCTGTTTTTCGCCCTCTGTTTGTGTGTACACAAGCATTCGCCGCTGAAATGTGCGTGTTTTAAGCTCATAGACAATTTCATGCTTAATTTATGCCAATTTGCGAGAAATAAGAAAAGTGCTCGTTTTCTCTATATTAAATTGTATATTAGCAGTGACAATGACTCAACCACGGAAACGAATGAAAAACAAACGATCGATGATGCTAAATTAGCACAAACCTTTGTTCGACATACTAATCGATCTAGCGCCAGAATGGCGGATTGACACACATACACATACATACAGAGAGACACAGAGAGAGCGAGCAGGAGTGTGTGTTAAATGGCGAAAGTGTTAAAAATGAAAGTCGCGCGAATTGTATACTTTCATTTGATAATAACGGTTCAAAAGTAGCGAATTCTTTCCACTGAAGGTTATCTTGGCCAATTTATAACCCATAAATCATTTCTCTATCGCTCCCTCCATGGTATTTTCCTTCCAATATCAGCTCATATTGATCATGAATTAAAGGATCGCCTTTTTAATCAATGCTAATGAAATAATTACAATATAAAAAAATTTATCACGATAATTTTGCAATGTTATTCGACTATAATTGATTGTAGCCAATGCATTTTGTAACTTGTTTATTTACAGTAATCAAAGTTGAACGCGTCAGTTGGCAAACGTCATTATTCATCGGCAGTAGACACAATACGTTGCGGAACATTGAATTAACATACACACACATAGAATGGTAGACAGTGACAGTGAAAGTAATCTTAAAGATTCAAATGTAAACAATTCATTGCATAATAGTGCACAAAAGACGACCGCCACGTCGGTCGATAAAAAATTCGGAAGTTTGCACTCTAATCTCAACAATCAACCGTCAGCAAATAGTCAAATACCGGGTCAATTTAACTACTATGACCAACACTATCGACAGTTACCAGAGGATAAAATCGATGACAGTGTAATCGATTCAAAACACTATGCATCCGTTTATAAAACCACATCACCTCGACTCTCATTAGATGATGGCGATGATGGGAAAAAGTATGCGGTTGCCAAAATAAATGGCAATGGTAGTTGTGGTGCGGATAGTTGTGAAAAATTTTCAAATATCTCATCAATCACACCAATAGCCAATGCAAATGTGGCCAGAGCCGATTTTGAAACAGCCATCGAACTGACGGGCTATGGAAAATTCCATTATTATTTGCTTGCGATTTGTGGGTTGGTCAGTACGAGCGAAGAGATGGATGTCATTTCAATGAGTTTTATACTGCCGTCAGCCCAATGCGATCTAGATCTTGATACACAAACCAAAGGTTGGCTGAATTCAATCATATTTATTGGCATGATGGTGGGCGCCTACGTTTGGGGCAGCATAGCAGACACGCTCGGCAGACGAAGAGTATTAATTGTCATCTCGTTTATGAATGCATTATGCATTGTTGCGTCCAGTTTTTGCCAAAGCTATGTTACATTCATGATTTTCCGATTTCTAAACGGAGTGGCGTAAGTTTTTCAAAAGATTTTCTTTTTTTAAATGAACATGTGAAAAATCAAAGCTAATGAATTTGTTTATGTTCAACAGATTGGGTGGAAGGTGAGTACATACAGATTTTTGTATCTGAGATAATGCAGACAAGTCACAAATCCAACATTTATCACCTGATTTAATTGAGAAATTTACATTATGCCATACGCTTTGTATTCATCATTCTATTTGTACTCAGACAGATTTTTCGGTTTTTTTTTTTTTCTGTAACAGTGGGCCGGTTATATGGAGTTATTTTGCCGAATTTCAGCCAAAATCAAGACGTGGATCGATGTTGAGTTTTATGGCCGCTTTTTGGACGATTGGTAATCTTTTCGTTGCTGGCTTGGCATGGATCATCATACCCTCTGGTGAGTTTTATAAGTTTTTTGTGTGTGTTTCATTTGCTATTATTTGGATGATTTCACCATGGAAAATATCGCAAAATATTGATAAAACATGAAAAACACTTATGATATGTACTCGATTTCAGGCATTGGTTTTGATACGCCATATTTTAAGTACAATTCATGGCGAATATTTTTGTTGCTGTGTGCATTTCCATCGTTTGTTGTGACCGCATTGCTATTCTATTTGCCCGAGAGTCCGAAATTCTTGATAATGCAGGGTCGTCGAGATAAAGCGTTGAACATTTTACGTGGTATTTTCGTCACAAACACCGGACAAACCAAAGATTACTATCCAGTTAAGGAGCTTATGATTGATGAAAAATTCCTAATGCCAGTAATTGTGAATACGAACAGCAATGGTGCCACCGTTGACATTAAACGATCTAGTGATTACGATGCAAATGGTGCATTGTGCGACATTGAAGCCATTAAAAAGAAGGGAAAATATTCGTTGATGTTTTCAAACATTGCTGACAATAGTCGTGAATTGTTTGTGCCGCCAATTTTGAAATTCACAATTATCTCGATCCTAATCAATTTTACATTTCACATTGGGTATTATGGTTAGTTTTCGATTTGTTTTTACATATTCGATCGGTTGGAGCCAGTAGCACCATTGTGATTAATACATAACGTTTACTCTCTCACACATTGAAGGTTTGATGATGTGGTTTCCAGAGCTCTTCAATCGTTTCGATGAATATTCTCGTGCGCATCCAGGCCAATCGGCTACCGTATGCCAAGTGACAAATTATGTTGTACAATCTGGTTCACATGCACAGCTCGGTGTATGTTCATCGAGCATATCGAGTTCGGTATTTATGGAATCGCTTATTTCACTATCAGCTGCACTACCAGCAAATTTAATCAGTATTTTATTCATGGTATGTTCGATTACTCAATTATGATTGATTTTTGGATTTGAATTCATGTTTCTATGCATTATTTTTTTTAGGATAAATTAGGCCGAAAATTCTTTTTAATATTCAGTACAATGTCAGCGGCAGTTTGTTCAGCTGGAATGTATTTTGTCATAAATAAACAGCAAAATTTCATTGTGTCGGCTTTTTTCACGGGCGTTATTGCATGCGGCAATGCATCATTGGACTGCTTAATCACAGAAGTATTCCCCACTCATTTGAGGTGCGTACACAAAAGAAATCCATTGACTTTGAATGTTAAAATCGTTGTTGTTTTATACGCGAGCGTTTTTTTTTTTCGTGGTAAAATTTAAAATGTGATAAACCCTAATTTCCCCACGCGCTCAATTTTTCGAATATAAAAAGCAGTAACGAAATATTACGACTCAAATAAAACATGCATCATTATATGTGATTGTGGAACTCGACCTTTTGCTTTATCTTTGCATTTAAGATATGTCAATTGAGTGGCATGTTCATTTTTATCGCAAACAGAAAAAAAACGTAGGCAACTAATCCAAGATTTCTTGTCTCAAGTATATTTATTAGCTTGGTCGGTCGGTCAGTCAGAAAATGTGTAAAAATAGCAAAACTTTGATAATAATTTTCATTGAAAAATCTCTTGAGAAAATGCAATTATGAAATTGAGTAAGAAGTGATCGATATACATTTATTCAATTTATTTGTATTTCGTAATGTAAACAATGGCTGTAACAAAATAGGCCATTAAATGCGTAAAACGTCAGCTAAATTGATTATAAAAACACTTTCGCTATCGATATTAACAATTAACACTTATGTTATTATATATTACATGTTCTGTTTTTTCTCGTTACAGGGCCACTGGTGTAGCCATTTCAATGATAAGTGCCCGCTTGGGTGGAATTATTGGAAACATTGTAATTGCCCAATTACTCGATTTATATTGTCCAGCGCCAACATTCATTGTCGCAGTTTTGCTGGCCGGTGGTGGACTTATGTGTTTGATGCTGCCAAATACAACGCGAACAGCACTCTCGTAACAATGGATCCTGCACCAAATGAAAAAACATAGAAGAAATAGACAAACAGAGAGGCAGCGCGCAACACACAAAATACGACACGAAATAAAGCGAATTCATGTTCATATGCGACGATATTATTCACTTTTTATATGATTAAATTTTAAAGATAAAGATAATGTTAAAGTTATTGTACCATTGATTTTCCAATGAATTCCAATGTTACAAAGTAAACAGTTTTATTTTTCTTTCTTGCTTTCATTTTGTATTCACCTAAGTATAAATGTTTGTCAAAAATGTCATTGACTCAACAAAAAAAAACTATTCCAAATCTCATTTGTAAGATATACTGATTCCATACAAATACAAAGACAAATTCAACAAAACCCATCGCATTTGTTTTTGAATGCAACGCTCAATTTCATTGGGGACATTTGCCGAACAGTGGTGGCCATCGATAATAACGACTCGCTACTGTTGTCAACGGACGTATCTATTAGCATTATTATCTATAGATTGAATGGCATAGCATTCAACCGTCTATTGATCGCTCATTAGGACAGAACTTTCGCATTTCAATTGTTATCTCAACTGATCTCGATTTTATGATGAAGTAACTACAACGGCCGCACTATTCACCCATGTTTTTTTCATTGTATTTATTCATAGGTCAAAATATATTCTGGTCAACGCATCTCACAGACAAACTCGATATATTGAATCAGCTGGCGAATTCCGAACACATGCACGCTGTGTGTCACTGATTTCACATCAAAACACACATGTACAGTCAATCACTCGCGCACCTAACACTAGCACATTTCATGTTTCTCAATCCTAATCACAAACCGTATTGTCTATGTGTGTACGTCACTCAAGCGGCATGCGTAATCTGTTTTGATAATTTTGCACACTCAGAACGTGAACGTTGTTGTGTGAAGAAGTAAACTTACAAGCATTTTTTTTCTCAACCATATCATTTGACGTTTTCGAACGCTGTTGTTTATGGCACAGACGAAAAAAAGTAATTCAAATATTTGTTCTAGAAATTATGTGATTTGTTGAAATCCGATATTTTTTAATATGTTACGCACTTTAAGTGGTAGATTATTTACAAAACATCATGGTAAACCAATTGTACAACGCTTTCTTTCTCATTATCCGATTGACGAATCAATATTTGGGTTGAATGACGATCAAATCAAAGTAAGTACTTTTATAAACAGATTTTACTTGGATTATCTTGTTATCAGTTTACATGGAAAATAATGATTTGTTTGTTTAGCTGCGCGAAACTATTTTTAATTTTGCACAAAAAGAATTGGCACCGCATGCACAGGCCATCGATCAGAAAAATGAATTCAAGTAAGCTATTTCGTCGGAAACGATTTGAAGAATTGGTTTTTTTTTTTTTTTTTTGCAAAACAAATTCATTGTGATAAAACAAAATTCTAGAGATTTACGGTCATTTTGGCGAAAATTGGGAGATTTGGGTGCACTTGGTATTACAGCAGCGTCAGAATATGGCGGAACTGACGCACAATATTTAGATCACGTCATTATTATGGAAGAATTATCGAGGTAAAGATAAGGCTCGTCTCACTATGAGCGTATTTTATTTATAACTTTTTTCTTCTTCTAAAATTGTGTGTTGTTTTCAATCATTCAATAGAGCATGTGGTAGTATTGCTTTGTCGTATGGAGCTCACTCAAATCTCTGTGTTAATCAAATTAATCGAAACGGTACAGAGGAACAAAAAAGTAAATATTTACCCAAAGTGAGTGTGTTTCGATTAGATTTTTGGTCGTTAATATTTGATATAAAGTATTTTGTTTTTGTCACATTTCCAGCTATGCAACGGAGAGCATATAGGTATGTATATGTTCATGTTTCGTGTGAAAAATATTAAATTATGTATTTTGTTCGTACAATAGGTGCTTTGGCTATGTCAGAATCGGGTAACAAACACATTGAACAGACAATTGACATTTGAACTTTGCTGATAATATATTTTTATCGCTTAGGTTCCGGCAGTGATGTGGTATCAATGAGACTTCGGGCCGAGAAGAAAGGCGACTATTATGTGTTTAACGGTTCAAAATGTTGGATTACAAATGGTCCGGATGCTGATACGTTGGTTGTTTATGCTCGAACCGAACCAAATGCAAAGCCACAGCATGGAATAACAGCGTTTATCGTCGAAAGAGGATTCGAAGGCTTCAGCAATGGTCCAAAATTTGATAAATTGGGAATGAGAGGAAGTAATACGTCAGAATTGATTTTTGACAATTGCAAAGTGCCAAGTAAAAATATTCTTGGTGAACTAAACAAAGGGGTGTACGTTTTAATGTCAGGATTGGACTATGAGCGGCTAGTACTGGCTGCAGGACCCGTTGGTCTTATGCAAAGTGCTTGTGATGTAGCATTTGATTATGCACATCAACGCAAACAATTCGATAAACCAATCGGCGAACAGCAATTGATTCAAGGAAAATTGGCTGATATGTACACAACATTGAATGCATGTCGATCGTATCTGTATGGTGTTGCACGGGGAACTGATCAAGGAAAAGCAAATTCAAAAGATTGTGCTGGTGTGATTTTGTACTGTGCTGAAGCGGCAACAAAACTGGGGCTCGATGCCATCCAAATTCTTGGTGGCAATGGGTATATTAATGAATATAGTGCCGGTCGTATTATGCGAGATGCTAAACTATATGAAATTGGTGCCGGTACCTCGGAGATTCGGCGTATGCTCATCGGCCGAGCTCTGAATAAAGAATATGAGGATTAATTCTATTTGAAATTTAATTATTTTGTAATAAAATTTATTAAAAGTAAATAACACAAAGCATTGTTTTACTTCATTCAGCAATTTTATTTATGTTTCGTGAGAAAAATTTTAAATTATGTATTTTGTTCGTTTTTCTTTTCTTTGACTATGTCAGAATCGGGTAACAAACAAACACATTGAATATTGTCCGGCCACCTGAGATTCATAAAATTAATACAATATTAACTTATAAATGTAATTTTATTGAACGGAAAACACACATCCGTAAGTCTTAAGTTCCCGACCCGAACTCCTGACCGATAATAACTTTTAGGTTTTCCTTTTGGATCATTTTTAGCCACCAGGGAGGGGTCGGGAGTGGTCACACCGAAATTATGCCCCATAAGAGACTGTATAAAATGCAAAACTGTGACACTGCTAGCGCCACTACGGACAACTATGGAGTTCTAGTCCGTTGGTTGCAACTGAGCAAAAGTCTTTTCACTATTTGGCGGCAACTTAGTGTAGATTACATTGAATTCCGTCGTGGCGCTAGCAGTGTGACAGTTTGGGCATAATTTCGGTACGGGAGTGGTCACTGTGGTGATAAAAAAAATCGTCTCATTAGGGGCTACAACTTTGCCAAAGAAAGTAATCGATTATCTCCAGTCGTTTAATAAAGCGACGTTTATGACATAGATCATCGTGGTACCCATGGAAACGTCGAGGGGCTTAAAAACGCCAAATATGAAAAGTCGCACAAATGCTTCAAATTAGTTTTTTTTTGCCTCTCTACCGATTAAATACAAAAAATCCAATATCGGAATATGATGGCGTTTTATTTTCAACCAAAAGTATGTTTTAGCGTAGATGGCGCTGATTTAAATGGACATTTGTATGTATAGACGGTGGCGCCGCCCTACTCAATTAAACACTGAACTACAGCGTTTCCAATCGTTGAAAAAATCGAAAATCGCGGTGTTACATATTGACAGGTTTACTGGTAAGTCCTAATTTTACTTCGGCCAAATGAGCATTGATTTTGATTGCATCTGTTGACTCGAAATACACAGAAGAACATTCACAGAATAAGATTTAATAACACAACACGATCGGATCGCAAAATATTTTTGGTAACATCAATTCAAACCAAACTACATAATATTACCTGAATCGACAATCGTACGTTTTTCTTATTAGTATAAAAAAATGAATTATATGTAGAACATTAACATGTTTTATTGTTTTCTAATATTCAGGCAAAATGAATCGAGACGAATACACGATCTTTGGTCGCGGAATGCGCTCCAACGGACAAAACGTGTTTGTCACCTACATGATTGTTAATCAAACATTTCGATTGTGGCACCCACAATGAGTTAATCGATGCCAATCTTTTGATAATAATCAAATGTGTCAACTAAGCATTATCAGGACAGTTTTATTTACAAATTCTTTAATTCAAGATTGTTCCAACGAATATAAAACAAAAGGTATTGTGTCTGTCGCCCTTATGGAGGAGCAAATGATTGCGCATATGTGGCGCCATCTTATATGGTTGCGACAAACTTGCTCATTCGCCTATAGTCGAGTCTTGAATACATTGCTTGCAGGCAATATGTACAAGAGCCGAATATAGGTGAATGAACTAGTTAGCCACAACTACATAGGATGGTGCTTTGGTTTTTTAATTTATAAATTGAATCGTTTTTTCAAGTTGAATGTGAACAACCATATTTTTTTAAAAAAATAAACAGGTTTTGAATAAGTAGGTAATAGAAATACAACGAAAAAAAAAAATTTGGCCCTTTTTTTGGTTGTTCCCCGCCGTTTTTGGTATGTGGCCGGAGGACCACCTGATCATGCGTCCTTTTAGACGGATCACCGTCCTTTTAGACGGTTAATTTGGCCTTATACTGCGCCCTGTTACTATAGTATAGCTCTTCGTTGATACTATGATTTATATCGTCTTTCGAGAATCTTTCATCGGGCCGTTACCGATTACAATATCGATATATTTGAAAGCCTTGTCTACTTTGCCATCAGTGCCAGGAACTTTTAACCACAAATTCGATTCGCCCCTTTTACCATTTCAATGGGTTCAGTTTCGATTGAAATGTTTTGCTTCCAATTCAAAATAAAATTCCACGACTCGTCGGACTCTTTTATTGGATCAGTCGAACTATTGCAATAATCAGCAAGACGTGAACGATAACCAACTCTTCCCACTCGATTGAACATCTTCTTGTCTTCGCATCGATAGAAGCCCTCTCTAACCTGTCTTTCTATTTCTGCATCCTCATCCGATGTAAAGTGCATAACTTGACCAACGTATCGGCGGCTTAGACGGCCGGCATTCGAGCTGCGTCCTAAGAATCAAACAGGGAAGAAAATGAATCAATAAGTATAATGGAAATAATGGGAACATATAATAAAAATAAAATAGTAATATGAAGTGAACACCAGACATTATAATGAGATATTTTCAGCCAGATGAATCAGCTCAGCCAGATATCGTCAGGAGCTGAAATTGAGTGAAAACAATAGAAGTGATTGTTATGGTTATAATTACACTTACATTGCTACAATCACTATAACAATCACTTTTATTGTTTTCACTCCATTTCAGCTCCTCACGATATCTGGATGAGCTGATTCATCTGGCTGAAAATATCTCTTTATAATGTCTGGTGAACACAGAATTGAATGTGAGACTGTATAATGATGATAAATGAACAGTATGAAAAATAATCGAAAGAACGGATAGCAATATTTTGGTAATGAATAATAATTACATGGATTTCTGTGATCCATATTTCATACTCGGCGGCTGACATTTCAGCTACGGATTTTGTTGTTCGTATGGCGGTTGTTACTTGAGCGGCACTTGTCACTTGAGCGGCGCTTGTAATGGTTGCGGTTGTTGTTGTTTGAGTATGAACTACACTACCCGGAATAAATTCACTATCATCAAATAGTGGTGGCGACTGAATCATACGACTTGAGCGTTTATGCGATTGAGAACAATCAAAAGGTTGTGTGGCCGTATTTAGAACCGGAGTAGATACAAAACGGTCTCTCGGTGATAAATTTGTTGCTATTTTTCGTATAGCGACTAAACTATTTTCGCGAAATGTAATCGATTTGAAATTTGGTTGCATTGTGAAACCTGTTATCTCCGATTCCATATTTAAAACAGGAGTTGAAGAGTACCGATCTTTTGAAGTGTCAATCAATTGTGAACTGCCAAAACTCGTTGAACCAAGTACATGTTGTTGACTTCTGTATTGGTTCAAAAATGAGCCATATCTTGGAGCTTCATCTCGCTCGAATCTTGCGTCCGTCTGAATTTGAAAAAATAATAAAAATAAAAAAATTAACGTACAAGCAAAAATATTATTTTCATCATGTAAATTCACAATTAATTTGAGGTTATGTATAACTTTTTGTGACTCACCTATTTGCGTATCGATCGCTTCAACACGGTGCCATTGGTCTTTGTAGTAAGCAGCAAAATATAGTTTTCCTTGCTCGCGAGCCGCGGTTACTTTGTCTCATCCGAATGGCGATTCAATTTATAGAATTCACTGAAAAATTGAAGCATCGAATTGTTTCTAATGATACGTTTACTCTCGAAATCGATCATTCCTATCAAAAATAGTTAATGTTTACTTATTCGTTATTCCATTTCCTTATAAAATTTATTAATGTCTTTCGTATACTTGGACAATCGACCTTGAACCCAGAACTTTGATTAATTGTTAACATCTGAGATGCGTAAAGGAAGCATCTCAGCTGCGTGAATTTCACTTGAAATCTTCTTTATGTCAGTTTTTTCTTCTTCTTCGCTGTCTGAAAACCAAAAATTGGCCATTTTCTTATGCATCACTTCTTTAGATGTTGCCAATGGTGCCGATTTGTCAATATCCGATACGCCGCAGTAATCGTCAGAAAAATGAAAAAAATAATTAAAAAAATTTCCTTCGATTTACAAATACTATTAAATTTTCTATATCATCTGGTAAAATCAGAATGAAAAAACTCGCATTCCTTATCGTCTAAATCACGATGGGCATTCGGTCCATACGTCCTCAAGGGAAAAATTTAAGGGGGGTTAATTGAAAAAAATCGAGAGGGGTAAGCAAAAAAGTGAAGTATATTTTGTGAAAAGTGTACTTTTTTCGTTTTTTTGCTCTTCCCTTTTTTCGAAAATCCCTAGCAAATTGAAAGAATTTTTCGGGATGAAAATCCCTAGCAAATCGAAAAGAATTTTCGTACATGCCAAAACTGAAAAGCAAAAAAAAAGGTCTTCACTTTTTTGGCCAAATACCTAGCAAATTGAAAGAATTCTTTGGAAATTTTTAAGGGGTAACACTTCATCAGGGGGGTAATCGGACCTCTCGGATCCCTGCTGAGGACGTATGATTCGGTCACTATTCAATAGGTGTTAAATAATAAGTTTATATGAAACTCTCGGAGACTCGATATAGAGCACTCAAAAAGTGAAAAAGGTCCAGATCGTGATTTATATGATATGGAGTGCGATTTTTTCCATTCTGATTTCACCAGGTGATACAGAAAATTGAGATACAAGCTTCCCATATAGATGGTAAAAAATCGCGAAAAATGGAAAAAAATAATAATTTTTTTTCTTCGATTTACAAATACTGGCTCAATTTTCTGTGTCACCTGGTTAAATCAGAATGAAAAAATCCGCATTCCTTACATCCAAATCACGATTGGCTTTCGCATATTATTTAATGGGTGTTATTTGCCTGCTAAATGGCAACGTTATATGAAACTCTCGGAGACTCGGTATAGAGCATAAAAAGTGAAAAAAAAATCTGATTTCTTATGCACAACTAAATGGTCTATATCATCTGGTGCGACTGATTGTAAAAATTTGCTATTTCTGTCACCCAAATCGTTGTTCAATGCTATCTCGCTCACACTTACATGTAATTTCTCAATGCATGGCATTGTGTTTACAAACAACATTCTATTGAACAATGCAAAGCGCAATAAAAATCGCTGATAGAAGCCATTTGATTGTATATGAAATTTTAGAATAAGAAGTTTTTTTCACTTTTTGTGCGTTCTACACTGAGCCTCCGAAAGTGCGAAATATTTATTCCGTTAAACTGCGTCGCATATCGAAGCGAAACAAAATTCTGTTAGTAAAACATGGCAGAACAGTAGCTAGATATCAGCACAAAACCAAACTTACATATTTCGTATAATAAAAAGTCAGTGTTCTTTATTCCTTTGTTAACAAAATATTGTCTCGGTTTGATATGCAACCGTTTTAAGTCGAGTTTCGATATGCGACCAAACAATAAGTTGTTTTTATTCTAGAGCGTTCAATTATTTTGTAATAAAATTTATTAAAAGTAAATAACACAAAGCATTCTTTTACTTTATTCAACAATTTTATTTATGTTTCGTGAGAAAAATATTAAATGTATTCTATTCCTAATCAAAATTCTATGAATTAACTCGAAAAGAAACAAAAAATGTATTGTGCTGAAAATGTTTAAAAAAAGCGCAAAAACATGGTGAAACTTAACGTGTAAAATGATAAACATCAACCCTCTAGTGTTTCATTTTACGAGTGAGTTCAACGTCGTAATTCAACAAAAAAAAAAAATTAATGAAAAGTCGATTTTCCGCTGGTCATATTTTTCGAATTTTCAAGAGTTAATCAAAATTTTTATCGTATTTCATTAAGAGCTTCCGTTTATGTGAAAGAATAGAAAATGAAAATATTTATTCTAGGAAGAAAAAAAATACTGAAAAAAATAAATTTCATCATTTCGTCTCCAGGTGGTCTTGCACAGCAGAGGGTTAAAGACAAATATATAAAATCAAAAAAATGATATAATTTATGCAATTGCCCCTGGTCCTTGACCATTCAGATCCGTCACTTGACTGTTATAGTGCAAAGCATCATCGTAGGCCTTGCGTACAGCCTTACTCTGTTTGCGACTCTCCGTTAGTTTGCTTTTGTCAATCTGGTCGCTGATGCCCAATCTTTCCAATTTATTCGGCGGCAACCATTGCCATGTGCGTTTCGCATCGAAGAACAATACCAAATAAACTGGTTCGACTTTATCTTTACGTAAACCCAGAACATCTTTTGGTGGGGTTGGCAATGGTACGCCATTATAAATGAAACCTTTTGGAATTGTTGGATCGATAATAAGTGCCGGATACCACGGATATCCTCGGCATTTCGCCCACACAAGCTGCAACGGCTCATATTCAGCATCACTCGATGTTGATGGATTTGCATTTGTACTGGACGCAGACTCGGATGATGTGTTGTTAGATGTGCCACCTGATGATGATTCGTCGGATTTCTTCTTTGAGGGCGAAACTTCTGTGGACGGTGTACCAAATGATTTTATCAGATTTCCTTTCTCTCTCTCTTCGCCTTCTCGATCATCACTTCCACTGAAGAAATCGTCATCTTCATCGTCATAGCTCGAACTGAAATGTGGTGTCATTCTCAATTTAGTTAAATGAATTCAATTGTGTCTAATTCAATCTTACCCAAACTCAGATCCACTACAACTGCTACACTCACACGAGTGCATATGGCTTATGTTCGAGTCTTCAGAGTCGGAAGATTGGGCCATTCCTCGACCACGATAAGTTCGGAAACTGTCGGGCATCACACTCGATGGAACGTATCGCTCTTTGGTTGGTGAAACTTTCTTTTGGCAACAACTCATCCCAATCGATGCGGAGGCACTTGTCGATGGAACAGCTAACGATGACGTACTTGGTGATGTGAGCTTATTGTCGAAAACACTCAAAGTTGGTGTACTACTCGTTGAATCGGTGGCAAGGGAATTTCGTCCTAAAGGCAAATTTGACATGCGTAAGTTAATAGTTTTTAATTTAATGTTTAAGATTTTCGTTTACCGGTTGTTGTTTCAGGCTTTTTTATCGAGGCTGCTGCTTTGGCTTTTCGTGTGAATAAAACGGCTGTGCGTCGATTGACACCCGATGGTGATGCACTATTGCTGGCATTTTTAATCGGGCTACACGACGGTGTGACTGGTTGTGCCAATGACTCTTTATTCGTATCATCAAGATCGTCTGATTGTGATGTATTTGCCGGTGATCGTGGTCGTTTCTTCGGCGTAACTTTTGTCGGACTGTTTGGATTTGATTTTTCTCCTCGGCTTGACAGCTTTTTCGCTCTCATAATTTCAGCTTTAACATTTTTAACACGTTTTTGTCGAACCAATCCATGTTTAATTCGCAATGATTTCTCCATAAGCTCTTGTAATTTTGGAATCAATTCTTCGTACGGTAAATCTTTTTCAAGCAATGCAACCAATTCGGTATCAACTTCATGTGCAATGGATTCATCTGATTGTGGTTTCTCAACAATACCCTCACGAATCAGTTCTTTGCGCACCGCCTTAAACACTGGACCACACTGATCACGCATACGAATACCGGCTCGATAGAAAATCGTATCTTTATTATTGTAGGCCAAACAATTTTGAATCATTAAATTGAAATCGTTTTCCATATCGTCCAATGTATCATATTTTCCATCGCGAAGTTTCGATCGCATCGTACTTAAATCCATTGGATGTGTAACAACAAGCGTGTAATCAGGTACTTCTTCGATGTCAACTGGTTCGGTGAATATTTCTTGTACGTCTTTTAAGAAAATGTTGTCAAGCAGTCGTGACATTGCCTCTTCCAATGGATTTAATTGCATCATTATTGATTGTTCGGCGACTCGAATGTAATGTGCCTTCAATTTTTCACGTTTTCGCACCAATTCGCACAGTAGACGCGCTCGTTCGAGATCTTGTCGCAAACATTGCCAATACTTCAACTGTTGATTCAGTTCGGAAGCATTTGGTGATCCTTCGATGCCACGATTTTGATGCATTTGCCCTTGACTCTGTAAGCGTCGCAACAATGGAACACCATTTCGGTGTTGTCTTTTTAGAGTCCAATACGCAATGAGTCTTTGAATGAACGCAGCCTTTTTATGGAAATGAACTAACGATGTGATGTGCTGCACGCGATCGGGTGGAATCGTTGGAATTAATATTAATGGCACACTTTCACGTTTCATGGCCAATGTTTTACGGGCTTGTTTCATTTTAATGCGTGACTGCTGTCGCAATCGTTCCGCTTCAGCACTGGACAAACTAATGCTATCATTTCCGCCGGTAACTGCCGGACAATGTGCATCACAGTAGGCACTTTTTTGAACTGTTACCGGGCTCGATTCGTCTGATACCGATTTTACTGTATCCATATGCATGTATAATCCTACAAAAATAAACAATTTTGAAAAATAGTTCAGAATAGAAACAAAAAAATATCAAGATATTTCACATTTGACGGCCTAAGAAGAAAACAATAACATACAGAATATTCTGCAAAAAGACGAATACAAATTTATGTGAGCAAAAACCAAATATACAAACAGACAGCGCAAA